GTTAGCACAAATACGGCAAAACCTTTGTGTAATCCATTGTCTAAAATCATTCTGTACGTCTGTTGGGCCTTGCGTTTTGACCCACAGGACTCTGAAGGGGTGTATATGTGCATGGAAACACTCAAACCCTGTTTCTCCTCTGCTCTCACACCACACAACAGTCATCACAGAAGACTTCTGTGGCCAAATTTGTGGGGGGCTTTCCTCACACACCAAGCCCCAGCGAACAGCTGGGTGTCCTTGAATTCAGTTCTGACGCTGTCCACTGGGAGGTAACCTCAGATCTGACAGGTGGAGGGCTCAGTCCCCAAGCCTGTCCTCCTCCATCCACACTGGTCACAAGCATAGGTCTCTGGAACTTCTGACCAACTGGCTTCAAGTTGGGGTTCCCACCATCCCTTTTGGGGGTTGATTAATTTGCTAGGGCAGCTCATAGGACTTAAGGAAACACTTATGTTTACCATTTGATCATAAAGGATATGTTAACAGAAAAGCCACACTCTGTAAAATATCTTAAAGAGGTTTATTCTGAGCCAGTATGAGTGACCATGGCCTGAGAAAGCACAAACCCAAGAAGCTGAGTAAATGTTCCCGAGGGGTCAGATTACAGTTTGGGTTGATGCTGTTGCCATTGTGTCTGGCTGGGCCTGTCATTGTGGGCAGTATAGGAATTTACCAAGACAGTTGTAGGTAAAGAAAGGCAGATTTGGCTGGGCACGGTGGCTTGCGCCTATAATCCCAGCACTTTGGGAGGCTGAGGTGCGCGGATCACCTGAGGTCGGAAGTTTGAGACCAGCCTGGTCAACATGATGAAACTCCGTCTCTACTAAAAATAAAAAAATAACTGGGTGTGGTAGCACGTGCCTATAGTCCCAGTTACTCTTGAGGCTGAGGCAGCAGAATCACTTGAACCTGGGAGGCAGAGGTTGTAGTGAGCCAAGATCATGCCACTGCAGTCCAGCCTGGGTGACAGAGTGAGACTCCGTCTCCAAAAAAAAAGGCGTTGGGGAGGGCAATTTTATTAGCGAAAGTGTGAAGGTAATTTTGCAAGGGTGCAGTGGCCAGCACAGCAGAGAAGGGGCTGTCGGCCAAGAGATGGGGGCAGGAGGGAAGCTTTATTTGGTCTTGCTGCTGGGGCTATGTACAGAACAAGGTGTTTGGGAGCAGGATATCATGCCAGCAGGTTGTCTGTGATGAGCCATTTCTCAGAACAATTATTCTCCCCTCTCTGGGACCCACTCTGCGTTGTTACTTATCAGGATTCCACGTATACATTTTAAGGAGACAGGAGTTACAGGAAAAGAAATAACCCAATACATAGAAGCTCGGCCTAAAAAGGTGGGATATCTTGAACTGAGGGGCTTACCAGACATAGGTATGTCTTAGGGATTCTTTAGTTGGTAATTGGTTGGGAGAATTAGCTTTGTCTAAAGACTGAAAGTCAGTTCAAAGGAATGCTTATGATAAGGGATGTGCTGTCTGCCGTGTGATGCTATACCAGCATCAGGTTAAAAAGTAAGCCGCGGTATACTGAGCTAACTAGAAATAAAACAGTTTAACCAGATTTTATGGTTTGTTGGATGTAACTTAACCCTTGCTGTGCATAGCTTTAGGTCTTGTTTATAATTTGGTATCTTAGTACCACAAAGAGTCTGTTCTGTCAGTCTTATAATCTTGTTTTAATAATAATGCTGGTCAGTTTTGCCTAAACTCTAAAAGAGAGGGGCTGTGATGACGCCTGTCCCACCTCCCTTCCTGCTACCGCCAAATACTCAGTCCTTCAGGTTTCTCTGAAGTCCCTTTGGCCAAGAGGGGGCGTGTTCAGTAGGCTGGGAGCTTAGGGTTTTATTCTTAGTTAGTTTACAGATATTACGAAGGGCACAGATGAGATGCATAGGGCGAGGTAGGGGTGCCACCCTCCAGCAACCTCCACAGTGTTCAACCTTCCAAAAGCTCCTGGACCCTGCCCTTGTGGGTTTTTCTGGAGGCTGCTGTACATAGGCCTGTTTAGTTAAACCATTGGTCATTGGTGATCAACTTAACCTTCAGCCCAACTCCCCTCCCTGAAGGTTGGGGGTTGGGGCTGAAAGCCCTGAGCCTTGCATCCTGCCTCAGGCTCTGTTGTGACCAGCCCCCATCGTGCCATCCCCAGCCAGACTCGATGGCAACAGCATCAAACCAAACCATAATCTGACCCCCTCGGGGCCACTGACTCACAGCTTTTTGGGTTTGTGCTTTCTCAGAGCCAACGTTACTCATGCTGGCTCAGAATAAACCTCTTAAAGGCTGGGCGCGGTGGCTCAAGCCTGTAATCCCAGCACTTTGGGAGGCCAAGGTGGGTGGATCATGAGGTCAAGAGATCGAGACCATCCTGGTCAACATGGTGAAACCCGTCTCTACTAAAAATACAAAAAATTAGCTGGGCATGGTGGCACGTGCCTGTAGTCCCAGCTACCCAGGAGAATGAGGCAGGAGAATTGCCTGAACCCAGGAGGCAGAGGTTGCGGTGAGCTGAGATCGCGCCATTGCACTCCAGCCTGGGTAACAAGAGCAAAACTCCGTCTCAAAAAAGAAAGATATTTTACAGAGTGTGTTTTTTCTGTTAACATATCCTTTGTGATAACTGGTGATACCTTAGGGCTGCTGGCCATCAGTCAACTCACTAGCCCACAAAAAGACATCCTCTGGAGACTCTGTGTATTTTAGGAGGTATACCCCAGGAAACAGGGGTGAAGACCAGATAAGGGTTTCAGAGTGTCACCGTGTGGATGTGGAATATCCTGGCCAGCGGGGAGGCCTTTGGTTTGCTTTTGGCATTCCATGCAGGAGGCCCCTTGGGATGGCTGTTCTGTGCAGTTGATTTTCCTCTGCTTTCAAGCTTCAATTAAGACAACTGTTAATACCCTGGCACTTCCCATGTCATCAGAAATACTGTTATTGTCTACATTTCTGTGTACCTTGGAGAGTCTTTCCAAGGGCACAGTGGCTCACGCCTTTAATCCCAGCACTTTGGGTGACTGAGGTGTGTGGATCACTGGAAACCAGGAGTTGGAGACCAGCTTGGACAAATAGTGAGACCCCAGCTCTATTAAAAACACCAAAAAATTACCTGGGTGTGGTGGCGCGCACCTGTAATCCTGGCTACTCAGGAGGCTGAGGCAGGAGCATCACTTGAACCCAGGAGGCAGAGGTTGCAGTGAGCCAAGATCTTACCACTGCACTCCAACCTGGGCGATAGAGCCAGAGTCTGTCTTCAAAAAGAAAAGAAAGAAAGAAATGTGGACAGTAACAAATAGCATTTTTTTTTTTTTTGAGATGGAGTCTCACTCTTTCACCCAGGCTGGAGTACAGTGGTGCGATCTCGGCTCTCTGCGACCTCTGACTCCCAGGTTCAAGTGATTCTCTTTCCTCAGCCTCTCGAGTAGCTGGGATTACAGGTGTGCACCACCATGTCCGGCTAATTTTTGTATTTTTCTTAGTAGAGTCGAGGTTTCACCATGTTGGCCAGGCTGGTCTTGAACTCCTGACCTCAAGCAATCCACCTGACTCGGCCTCCCAAACTGCTGGGATTACAGGTGTGAGGCACCGTGCCTGGCCAACAAATAGCATTTTTGATGACATAGTATTTTACCACAGCTGTAGAAGCTAAGGCCTGGCATCCCTAGTTGCAGGCTTAGGGGTCTGTCATGGGTTTGATGTGGGGTGATCCCATGTGTTCCTGGAGAGGAATCCTGCATCTAGCAGTTTGAGTGGGGATGTTTTTGAAGAGCTCTTTCTCCTTCAGTTTCGTGCCCCATTACTTCCCTTGACCACTTCTTTCTAGAAATTCTTTGTTCCCTTGGCTTCTATTACATGGAACTTTCCAGATTCTTCCGTTTCTCTGAAATCACATTCTATTTTCTTCCTTGCTTTCTTTTTCTCTTCTTAGCCCCAAACTATTAGATATTCTCCAACACTTTATCCACAGAATCTGTATTTATGTTGAAAAACTTAACTCCCTTACTGTCACCTTCATGTGGGTGGTTCTTGAAGTCACATCTGAGCCTACACATTCCCCCAGGCCATGGTCCCCCATCTCCAGCTACACCAGGCTGACATCCTTTGGGGCCTCAAATTAAGCGTGTTTGAAATGAAGCCTGTCATTTTGTCTTGAGCCATCATTACTGTATGACTCGCCTCTTTCCCTTGGTGTCATTTCCATGCTTCACGACGCACTGCCCAGAAATGTACGTCCTCATCAGCTGCTTTCTCTTCCTTTGCCTCTTGTGTCTGTCTGGCTTCTAGGTCTTTCTGCCTGATCCCTAGAGCTGTTCATTCCTTCCCATGTTCACTGCTAAGATTTGGGGCTCATGTCTTTGTGATTTTATGCACATGCCATGGCCGGGCTGTCTTCCTGCTTCTTTGGTGTCCTGTGTGCTTGGATTTTAGAAATCTGCCTGTTTAGAAATGTTTAGTGGTTTTCTGATTTCCCAGAGGGCCAGCTCTGGAAGCCGGCATTTTTGGAGTCATCCATACACAGGCTGGACTTCTCTCTCATGCTCCCGTACTCTGACCCATCTAGCATAGCCTGTGTGATTTCTTCCCCAGCCTCAGTGTTCTCTGGTTCCTGATATGATCTAGAACATACTCTTTGTAGCCTCCTCTTTCTGCTTCCAAGTCCTGTCTGTCCTCAAGGCCTGGCTCTGGTCCCCATGACCCTATAAAGAATATCTTGCTCCTGCCACATGGCACGTGGTATGCTACTGTGACAGCGGGTCAGGGTTGTCTTAGGCTCTAGCTGTTTAATCCTTGTACTCTTATTTAATCTTTCACAAGTGTCTGTCTTCTCCTCAGACTCTGGGTATAAACAGAACCTGGCACGCAGTCCATGTTTCAGTGATGCTTGTTGGATTGGAGTGGTGGAATTGCCAGCACGGTCTTGGGTCAGAAGTTGTGTTCCTCTCATGAGCTTTGGATTCGGGGTTAACAATCTTGTTTGTGTGTGTGTGTGTGTGTTTCAGCTGCAGATCCCTAGTGTGAAGGGTTTCGATTTTGCTAAGCAGCATCTGGGTCAACACAATAAAGACGACATATTGATTATTCATGAGCCTGCACCACTGCCAGGACCTGTAAAGGACCACACCACGCCCTCGGAAAATGGAGACGTGCCAAGCCCCAAGTCAAAGATCCCGTCCAAGAACGTCCGTCACAGAGGAAGGTTATTACTGGGCTTTCTGTATGTTCTCAGTTGCAGGCATGCTTCTGTTATCAGGCTGTCAGTTTCCAGTGTCACAAGGGCTGATGGGGAGTCCAGCCCTGCCTCTGCAACCTGGGAGACCGATGACTTGCCCAAAGTCGCACACGAGCCCAAGAATGTTTCCTAGCCACTCTCACGGGCTGCCAAAGAAGGCTGTGTGATTTCTTTCCCCACACGGTTGAAGATTATGAATCACTATCTGTGATGTGATAGTTTGGCGGCCCCTGTCAGACTTGATTAGGGATTGACGAGCTCCCATGTATATATCCCAAGGGGAGCATGCTAGGCCCCGTGGAGATAATATCAGCAATAACATATAAGGAGTGCACGGCACCCAGTACACGCTCAGCCTGTGTGAGCCTCTGTGTCCATGCCTGGGATGCCAGCAGCTGCTGTGACTGCATTGCTTTGTCTGCAGGTGACCTTCATCACGTCCTCCTGTGTTTTCTTTGTTTTCCTCTGGCTGCTCATGTGTGTCACCTTTGTTAGGATATCACACAGGACTCTTCACCTCCTCCCTGCCCCACTCCCCATTCCCAATTCATTTCCCTTCCTCCTCTTAGAGTATAGCACATAGAGAATTGCTCATTAATTTTCCAAACTACCTGGAAGCCCCTTGTCACCCTCTGACCCTGTGAGAAGGGCTGTAGCTCTGTGAAAGAAGACACAGTTCAGAATCAGGTGTGTTCAGTTGACTTTTGATCACAGGCTTTGGCTCCTGAAGCCTCCTGTTGTCAGCCTTTCTTTGAGCTTTGGAACTCTAAATCCTGATTTCCTGTTAAGAGCAAAAAAAGTGTGTGATCGTACCAACATTTGAAACGATGTCATGATTTCTGTCTTATCAGAAAACCTACCCCGGGGGTTCTGGCCTAGTTTTAAGAATCTAATAGATGTCAGAACATGATCTTTACAAAAGAAAACGAGTTATGTAGAGAGATGCTCTTTGCTTAATGATTTTGCTGGCTAAGAATAAATGGAATCATTGAAGATTATTTAATATGCAAGTAAAATTTTGCAAATTCTTTTTTTTTTTTCTTGCCTGGTTGTCTTGTCATTGACATTGAGTCATGGCAGCTCAGTGGTCTGCGTGGTTAATACGATGTTTTAGCATCGGGACACCAGCATATCTTCGTATTTCACATTGTCATTGAAGCCAGGGAGCCTAAGGAATCAGGGAGCTAATTGATGAAGGATGTTTCCCTGGTGCAAGCTGGGTGCCACAATACCCTTGCTTTTTATATATAGAATCAAATCTCAGTATAAGCACATCCCGAAGATCCAGAGTTATTTGGGGTGACTGCAGGGCTACGCCAGCTTCCTGGGGAGTCTCCAGATCTAGTTATTCCGAACCCCAAGTCCTCGTTGATCCAACTCATGCTAAACCCAGACTGCTGGTCCAGAAATGACAGGGCCAGGGGCCGGGCCTTGAACCCTGGTGGCCGTGGGACCTTCCTGCTGTCTGGCACTTGTTGAAATGCAGCCTGCTGATCCATTTAGTAAGCTGCATTAATCTGTCTTCAGGAGGTGACTATGTGGTGCTAATGTCATCCTTGAAGGCACTGTACTATGGAATAATTTTGACTGTTTCATTTCTGCTGGTTTTGCCTGGAAGTCCGACTTCCACACCCAAATTAATGTGACTTTTTCTTTTTCATTCTTTCTTGTTTCTAACGTTTGTAATTCGTTTTGTGTCTGCAGAGTTTCTCCCTCAGATGCTGACTCTACGGTCAGCGAAGAGTCCAGTGAAAGGGACGCAGGAGATAAGACACCGGGAGCCATCAACGACGGCGGGTCCCACAGAGTCCCGCAGAGCGGTCTGTGACTTTTCTGGTTCTTCCCGTTAAAAGTAGTCCCTATGAGAGTCCGAAGGCTGAGGCCTTACACTACTTCAAATGCCAAAGCCTTAAAATATATCTGTGAAATGGGGCATTCATCATTCCCAGGGTTGCTCAGTACCTGTTGCCATCATCTAATGTGGTCCTGGTGTCTGCTTTGGGGCTTGGGATTCACTGGGGGGTACATGTTAAGGTGAATAGCCTCATTTCATTCTGGTTTACAGTCCTCATGATTTTCCTCTCCAGAGGTCAAGGAGGAAGTGCACTGAAACCAGAGTCTCAAAAACCACCCCCGGGATTCAGTAGCTTTCGTAGGAGCCAATTCAAGGATTCACAGCCGTCACTGCCAGAAACCTGTTTGTTTATCATCGGCCCAAGTCCCTTATGTTTAGTCCTGTCCTTAGATCTTTCTTCCAGCAGGGGGTTAGTGTGAGCAGATGGTTTGGCATGTTTGCGTGTGGGGTCCCATATAGCTTCGCAGGCCAGGTATGAGATGAGCTTCCTCCTGTTCTGTGAAGACTGATGCCCTGTCAGAAAACAAGACCTACAGGTCTTTAGACTTGGGAGCATGTTATTGGAATGATAGCACGGTAGCTTGTTTTTAGTGTAATAGATTGTGTTAATTAGATGTGCTACTGCAGCTGTTGTATTTGCTGGAGGTTTATTTTTATTTAAGGACTGCATTTCAGTAATACAAAGATAATTGGGAGACCTCAGAATGTTATTATTACTATTATTTTTTTGAGACAGGGTCTTACTCTGTCACTGAGGCTGGAGTGCAGTGGTGCAGTCCCGGCTCACTGCAGCCTCGACCTCCCAGGCTCTGGTGATCCTCCCACCTCAGTCTCCCCAGTAGCTGGAATGACAGGCATGTGCCACCACATCCAGCTACTTTTTGTACATTTTTTGTAGAGACAGGGTTTCACCATGTTGCTTAGGCTAGTCCTGAACTCCTGAACTCAAGCAATCCATCTGCCTCAGCCTCTGAAAGTGCTGGGATTACAGGCATGAGCCACCACGCCCAGCCAGGATATTATTTTTAATAGGAATTTTTATACTTACAGTTTTTAATCATAAATTTCTGTGTATGGAAATGTGGCACAGCGTGAACTGTACTCTAGAAATGAACAGACTCTGGACAGAAGCCCAGGGGCCTCTCCTCTCCCTGATGTGCTTGTGGCCTCCTGGGTCGCTCAGCCTTTGAGTCTCTGGTGGGACTGCACTCGTCGGTCCTTGTAGTTCTTCCGGCTCCTTCCACTTGGTTCTTTTGTAATCTTAAGGACGTCCCCTTAGAAAAAGGGAAGAGGTTTTTCTTTGGATCTAGTTTTTCAAAACCTTAAAAATTGTTTAGCACCATGGTAACAGATGCTGTTTTAGATAGGGTTAGAATCTAGTTTTGGGAAAGAAATATTTGGTGGGGGGGAAAGAGCTCTGGACTTTGTCAAGTTCTGTTCATTGCTTATATGAGCAAACCTTTCTTTCAGTGCCTGCGTTTAACTCCTTCCGATGGTATTACAACCAGTATAGTCTATAAGAACAGCAAAAATCAAACACCATTCTTGACATAGCTTCAGAATCCAGGTAGCTAGCATTACAGCTCTGGGGCCCATAGCTGAATGTGAAGGAGATGAATTAGATGATTTTGTGAATATTAGAAGCTCAGATGCTGCTGTTATAATTTGAAGAGATACCAGAATCTGTACATTATTTTCATGTTGTAGAAAGATATTTTCTCACTATAAATATCAATATACTTTGAAAACTTAGTTTACTTCTTGAAAGGTGCTATAAGATAGCTTTAATGCTGCTGTATAAGTATTTTATTGCTTGTATAGAAACTTAAATATCCTATTTTAAAATATTCTTAGTTTTTGTCCTAGCTTTGTTACTTTATTTTTTTAATTTTTGACAGACTTTTGCTTTTTGAGACAGTCTTTCTCTGTCGCCTGGGCTGTAGGGCAGTGACACGACCTTGGCTCACTGCAACCTCTGCCTTTCAGGCTCAAATGATTCTCCTGACTCAGCCTACCAAGTAGCTGGGATTGTAGACGTACACCACCACGCCCGGCTAATTTTTTTATTTTTAGTAGAGACAGGGTTTCTCTATGTTGACCAGGTTGGTCTTGAACTCCTGGCCTCATGTGATCGCCTGCCTCAGCCTCCCAAAGTGCCGGGATTACAGGCATGAGCCACCACGTCCAGCCTATTTTATAATTCACATAAAAATCTTTCTTTTGTTGCAAGCCATAATGAAGTAAAAATTAATGGAGGCGTAGGGCAGGGAGGCGCTTGAGACTATTCTGGAGCCCTCTTCTATGTTGCCCTGGGATCAGCGTTCCCTCTCACTCCTGTGGGTGGCACAGCTACCGGCTCTCAGGCTTCTTGGCAAGGCTTTTGACAACTGTCCCAGGTCATGTGGCGTATTAAGGGCCCACCTTGCAGTGGGAGCTGAGAGAAGACTCTTGTTTCAGTTTTGGTAAATTGGAGGTTGTGCTTGATTCCTTTGCCAGCTGACTGTTTTTGGAAGGTGACTAGACCATGACACACCCTCACGGCCATCCATGGACCCTTAAGAGATTACTTACTCAAATGTCACTGTGTTCACAGTTATTGCAGCTCTAGAATAACTCACTTCCTAACCACTGGTGACCCTTAGTGAAGATGGGAAGGGAGAGATGAGGTGGGAGTGTGCTGCCATTGCTGTGTCTGTGCATAATTGTAGTTTTTCTCTCTCTCCTCTTTATCATCAGGAATATACCAAATAGGTAAGGATTGCAAAATACTCAGCATTCTTTTGTGCTCTCCTTAGATTGCATGTGTGCAAGTGTGTGATTTTTAAGTAGTTAGAGCTTCATTCATTTGCATTCCACAAGTTCCAAATTCTAGAATTTCACATGCAAACTAAGCGGCCATTGACTTTTGCATGTGCCAAGGAGTTTGCAGTGCTCAGTTAACCAACATATATAATAAAATTGAAACACGACACAGAACATTAGCATGACCCCTGCGCAAGGATGACATGCAGATTTGGGAAGCATTCCATATTTTTTAAAAATTAAAGGAGTTTGCCAAATAGTTTAAATGAGATTGAGTTCATATAACATTGAAGTTTTTCAAGCAATTTGGGAATACCCATATGTAAAATGATTGGGTTCATAAAATATGATTCTCATCTTTTCATGAAGGCAGATTCCCAGAGACCTTTTCAAGGTAAAATGTTATGAACATAGTGGAGATGACTATAGTCATTGAGTCATCCATTTAGCAAATGCTTCCTAAACGCCTCTGCTGTTTCAGGTGCTGGCGACACAGTGAAGATGAGACGAATGTGATTGCTGTCTCACAGGATAGTGATGTGGGTTGCACACATTGGTAAAGATGCGATTTTTCCAGCCTGGGCAACATAGCGAGACTCTGCCTCTACAAGAAATAGAAAGAATTAGCCAGGCATGGTGGTGTGTGCCTGTGGTCCCAGCTACTGAAGAGGCTGAGGTGGGAGGATCAATTGAGTCTGGGAGGTCGAGGCTGCAGTGAGCTGTGATTGCATTACTGTACTCCAGTCTGGGTGACAGAGCAAGACCCTGTCTCGGAGGGGAAGAATGTGGTTTGACTATATTTACTTGTAGATACTGAAATAATATTTCTTTAAAAATGCTCTCTTGCTTTGACATTTCAGTAATTCAGACTGAACTTTTCTCTTTCATTCTGCTTTGTTGGCATTATGCTATTCTATACAATCCTGTATACGATTACCCATTTTTTATTTTTGTTTTTTTGCTTACCCTGTCTGGACTGCAGTGGCACAATCACAGCTCACTGCAGCCTTGCCCTCTTGGGCTCAAGCAGTCCTCTCACCTCAGCCTCCTGAGCAGTTGGGACTACAGGAGCATATGACGCCCGGCTAATTTTTTATTTACTTTTTGTAGAGATGAAGTCTTGCCCTGTTGCGCAGGCTGGTTTTGAACTCCTGGGCTCAAGCAATCCTTCTACACTAGCCTCCCAAAGTGCTGGGATTACAGGCATGAGCCACCATGCCCAGCCTTTTTCGTTCTTTTTAAAGTTTTTATTTATATTTTAACTGATGATAAAAAAATCATATATATTTGTAGTGTACAACATGATGTGCTTTTGCTTTTATTTTTAGTTGATGCATAATACTTGCAAATATTTATGGGGGACACTGTGATATTTCCATGTATGAATATACTGTGTGATGATCAAATCAGGGTAATTAGCGTATCTGTCATGCCATACAAAGTTACCATTACCTTGGAAACATTCAAAATCTGCTCTTCAAGCTAATTGAAAATATATAATAAATTAGTAGAGTCACCTTACAGTGCCTGCAGGTGCTAGACCCATATTCCTCCTCTCTAGCTGTGCACTTTTATTTTTTTGAGACACAGTCTCACTTTGTTGCCCAGGCTGGGATGTGGTGGTGCAGTCATGGCTCACGCAGCCTTGACTTCCCAGGCTCAGGTGATCCTCCTTCCTCAGCCTCCCGAGTAGCTGGGTCTACAGGTGCACACCACCATGCCAGATAATTTTTTGTAGAGATGGCGTTTTGCCATGTTACCCAGGCTGGTCTAGAACTCCTAGACTCAAGTGATCCTTCCACTTCAGCCTCCCCAAGTGCTGGGAGTACAGGCGAGATCCACCATGTCCAGCCTCTCGTTGTGTTTTTGTATCTGTTAACCAACCTTTGTCTTTGTCCATCCCCTTCCCTTCCCAGCCTCAGGTAAACATGAGTCTACTCTCCACTCTATATCTGCTTTCTAGCTTCCACATATGAGCCAGAACAGTGCGCTGTTTTTCCTCCTGTGCCTGGCTTATTAATGTCATCCAAGCTCGTCCATACCGCTGCAAATGGCAGGATTTCATTCTTTTTTATGGCTAAATGGTGATGTTTTGATATATGTATGCATTATGGAAGGGTGAAATCAAGCTATTTACCATATGCATTACCTCACATGCTTATTTTTTGTGATAGCACTTAAAATCCACTCTCTTAGCTGTTTTCAAGTATACAGTATATTGTTGTTAATTATAGTTACCACAAGGTGCAATAGGTATCTTGACTATGTAGTAAAATTTATATCATTACTCTTAAAAAATAATTGACGAGAAAGGGGTTTTAATCCCAAGTTCTTGCCTTAAGGCAGAATTCACACAGATTTAATCTCTGTGTGTCCACTGTACTTTGTACTAATCATTATTATACAAGCAGCTTTTTTAGAAACATTGTACAATGCATAGCAAACAATATGTATTATATAATTATAACATATATTAATATATGATATATAAATATATATTGTATATAATTATGAATATAAGTTATATACTAATACTGTATTATATGTTATATATTTATATAATACATATTTACATGATATATAGTTCTATAAACCAAAATATACAATTATAATTTATGTAATATAATTATATATGTGTGACATATAACATATATTATATGTATATGTTAAAAAATTAAAAGCCCCTCTTTTCAGCCATGCTGAAGGGCTGGGCTCCGGGCAGCATGGAAGCTGGAAGATTTTCTGTGCCTCTGATTTCCTCTCCTCGGCTTAGCCCCTCAGCTCTGTAGAGTGGCCCGAGGTCTGTGCATCCCCTCCTTCTCTGATTGCAGTCTGTGAACAACTAAGCCAGGATAAAGCAAGGACTGTGACTGCAGTGGGGAGGGGGTGGCCGGGCTGTGGACAGGAGTCCAGTGTCAGGCTGCCGCTCCAGTGGTACCCAAGTAGGGCCGACAGCACAGTGGAGAGGGGCCTTTTTTGTTTTTATGCCTGTCACCCTTGTCTCCCCGCAACCCAGAGGTCTCTGCCACCCTGGAGGAAAGTGATCCCACCTCTAGGTATCAGTAGCTTAATCGGCTATGCTCTGTGACATTTGCTGTTACTCTGTAGTCTGGGTTAGCAGGGCTAGCCTGTCTGGCGAAGCTAATGATCTTCTTTTAGGCATTATGCTTGCAACTTGAGTAGCTGCCACCGATGAATGGTGGTGCCCGGCTGTGCTCCCACTACACAGTTAGTCAGGTTCCTTCTAGGTGTGGGGCCAGGAAAGAAAGCTTGAGCATAGCTGGAATCCAGACTGGTGCCCCCTTGCTAAGAGAGACGTCATTCATTCAGAGTCAGACAAATAACTTCTAATTGCTTGGGATAATGAATATGATTCAAATTGAGAGAAAATACAGGCGTACTTACCAATGCTGTGCTTGCCTTATATGAAATATCAACGACTGCTTCTTACTGCTTTGCTCTCATCTATGTTTTCTACACTGAGCAGAGACCTTTGTATTTTTCACTTACGCTTTGAAGTTTCAGATGTCAGGCTTTTGTTTAGAAGCAGTTTCTGCATGCACTCATTCCCTCTGTCAGCCTCCTGCCATTTATTTGAAAGCAGCATCCAGAAGTGACTGTGGCTGATTAGAGGAAGGGCAGAAATTAATCTTTTTTTTGGCGGGGCGGGGGGACAGGGTCTCACTTTGTCACCCTGGCTGGAGCACAGAGACGTGATCTCGGCTCACTGCAACCTTTACCTCCTGGACTCAAGGGATCCTTCCACTGCGGCCTTCTGAGTAGCTAGGACTACAGGCATGAGCCACCACAGCCAGCTAATTAAAAAAAAATGTAGAGACGAGGTTTTACTGTATTGCCTAGGCTGGTTTCAAACTCCTGGGTTCAAGCAATCCTGCCTTAGCCTCTCAAAGTGCTGGGATTACAGGCATGAGCCACTGTGCCCGGCCAGCTGATCTTCCTAAGTGTGACTGACTAGCTCTTTCTACTTAGCCGCTGTTTATTTTTCTATTTCTCTTTTCAAAATTAAAATCTATTTGGATTATCTCTATTATAAAAATAATAATACAGAAAATCCTTATTATCAAAAATAAAAGACATTGGGAAAAATATCCCATCATGTGAAGATTCAGTCTCTGTTAACATTTTAAAATGTCTCTTTTTTGTCTTTTTTTGTGCATTTAACTTTCTTTTTGTCCACAGGTCTGATTAGTTTTTAAGAACATTATTACAGTTAAATATACATAGCCTAAAATTTGCTGTGTAACCATTTTTACATATACTCTTCACCTGTTTTTAAAATAGGAACTAGTGCTGGGTGTGTTGGCTCCTGCCTATAATCCCAGCACTTTGGGAGGCTGAGGCAGGTGGATCACTTGAGATCAGGAGTTCGAGACCAGCCTGGCCAATATGGTGAAACCCTGTCTCTACTAAAAGTATTAATACAAAAATTAGCCTTGCGTGGTGGCACACACCTGTAATCCCAGCTACTCGGGAGGCTGAGGCCAGAGAATTGCTCAAACTTGGGAGGTGGAGGTTGCGGTGAGCAGAGATCATACCACTGCACTTCAGCCTGGGAAAAAGAGTGAGACTTTGTCTCAAAAATAAATAAATAATAAAAATGTTTTTTAAATTTTTAAATTAATTTATTTACTTTAGGTAAATAAATTTAATGTATCTGGCATTTCTCCCCATGTTATCCCTCCCCACCCTCCCCTCCCTCCCCACCCACCCACCCCCCTCTATTTCTCCCCACCCCCCTCAACTGCCCCCAGTGTGTGATGCGTCTCTCCCTGAGTCCACATGTTCTCATTGTTCAACACCCACCTATGAGTGAGAACATACAGTGGTTTGGCTTTCTGTTCTTATGTTAGTTTGCTGAGAATGATGGTTTCCAGATCCATCCAAGTCACTACAAAGGACACAAACTCTTTTTTATGGCTGCATAGTATTCCATGGTGTATATGTACCACATTTTCTTTGTCCAGTCTATCACTGATGGGCATTTGGGCTGATTCTATGGAAGTCTAGTATTTTTTTTTGAGACAGAGTTTCCAGTCAACACTCAGAAACAGGTTGTTTAGTTTCCAAGTGGTTGTGCGGGTTTGCGTGTGTTTCTTGATCCTGAGTCCTAGTCTGACTGCGCTGTGGTCTGATAGACTGTTTGTTATGATTTCTGTTCTTTTGCATTTGCTGAGGGGTGATTTGCTTCCAATGATGTGGCCAATTTTAGAGTATGTGCACTGTGGTGCTGAGAAAAATGTATATTCTGTGGATTTGGGGTGGAGCATTCTGTATATGTGTATTAGGTCCACTTGGTCCAGCTCTGCATTCAAGTCCTGGATATCCTTGTTAATTTTCTGTCCCATTGATCTAATATTGACAGTGGAGTGTTGAAGTCTCCCACTATTATTGTGTGGGAGTCTAAATCTCGTTTTAGGCCATTAAGAACTTGCTTTATGTATCTGGGTTGCTCCTGTGTTGGGGGCATATGTATTTAGGATACTTAGCTCTTCCTGTTGGATTGATCCTTTTACCATTATGTAGTGTCCTTCTTTGTCTCTTTTGATCTTTGTTGATTTGAAGTCCATTTTATCAGAGACAAGAATTGCAACTCCTGCTTTTATTTGTTCTCCATTTGCTTGGTAAATCTTCCATTCCTTTATTTTGAGTCTATGTGTGTCTTTGTATGTGAGATGGGTTTCCTGAATACAGCACACCGATGGGTTCTGACTTTTTATCCATTTTGCCAGGCTGTGTCTTTTGATTGGGGCGTTTAGGCCATATACATTCAATGTTAATATTGTTATGTGTGGATTTGATTCTGCCATTTTGTTACTGACTGGCTTTCTTTCCCATTAGTTGCCTCATTTTCTTCATTGCATTTTTGGTCTTTGCCACTGGTTTGCTTTTGCAGTGGCTGGTACTTGTTCCTTTCCAGGCTTAGTGTTTCTTTCAGGAGCTCTTGTAGGGCAGGTCTGGTGGTGACAAAATCTCTCAATAATTGCTTGTCTGTAAAGGATTTTATTTCTCCTTCACTTAAGAAGCTTAGTTTGGCTGGATATGAGATTCTGGGTTGAAAGTTCTTTTCTTTAAGGATGTTGAATATCGGTCCCCACTCTCTTCTGGCTTGTAGGGTTTCTGCTGAGAGATCTGCTGTGAGTCTGATTGGCTTCCCTCTGTGGGTGACCTGGCCTTTCTCTCTGGCTGCCCTTAGCATTTTCTCCTTCATTTCAACTCTAGTGAATATGATGATTATGTGCCTTGGGGTTGCTCTTCTTGAGGAATATCTTTGGGGAGTTCTGTGTATTTCTTGAATTTGAAATTTGGACTGCCTTGCTAGGCTTGGGAAGTTCTCCTGGATAATAGCCTGGAACATGTTTTCCAGCTTGGATTCATTCTCCCCATCATATTCAGGTACACTGATCAAGTATAGATTAGGTCTTTTCACATAATCCCATATTTCTTGGAGGCTTTGTTCATTTCTTTTCACTCTTTTCTCTCTTGTCTTGCCTTCTCTTTTTATTTCATTGAGTTGATCTTCAATCTCTGATATCCTTTCTTCTCCTTGATCGATCTGCGTATTAAAACTTGTTTGCTTCATGTAGTTCTTGTGCTGTGTTTTTCAACTCCATCAAGTCGTTTATGTTCTTCTCTATCCTGGTTATTCCAAGTAACATTTTGTCTAACTTTTTATCAAGGTTTTTGGTTTCTTTGCATTGAGTTAGAACATGTTCCTTTAGCTCAGAAATGTTTGTTATTAGCCACCTTCTGAAGCCTGTTTCTGTCAATTCGTCATACTCCTTGGTCAAGTTGTGATCCTGTGTTGTTGAGGAGTTGTGATGCTGTGTTGTTGAGGAGTTGTGATGCTCTGTTGTTGAGGAGTTGTGATCCCTTGATGAAGAGGTGTTCTGGTCTTTGATGGTTTTATCTTTTTGTGCCTGTTTTTTCCCAATCTTTGTGGATTTACCTGGCTGTGGTGTCAGGGACCTGCTTGATGAGGTTGCTTGTCTGCCCAAGGCCAGGTTTCTGTAGTTCTCTAACATCACACTCCTATATAAATTCTGCTGTGCAGCGTCCAGGCATTGCCACTCCTCCAGAGAGCATTCTATAGCCGTATCCCTAAATGTCAACAGTTCCATTTCTAGGCTTCCAGGGGATCCTGGTGTCTTAGCTGTGGATCTCCAATACCTGCAGGTCACAGGACCACACAAGCTAGGCATCTAGGAGAACAGGACACAGAGAAGTGAAGATGAGACCTGGAGCTGCGGCTACAGGGAAAGACCAATAAATAATAAATTTTAAAAATAAACAAGTAGGAACTAATTCCCTGCAAGCAACAGCTTTTGCTTTTCATGTGTCTTCAACTTCATTTTCTTTCTTCGTTTCCTTCCACGTCAGAACTGAAAAGTCATTGTTAACTGGTACATGCCTGCATGTTCTCGTCTTCCGTTTTCTCTGTAGTACGACATTGCCTTGGCAACTAAATGCGTATCACTCCAGCAAGCTCCCTCCCTGATGGTAGCAAGAGTTCAGAATAACTCTTGCTACCATAATGTATAAATGTATTTTCTAAAAGTTCTGTGAATGGCTTATTGACAACTGAGCAACGTCAGGCTCCTTCTGTCCTGTATTCTTTCTGGCTGAAGATTTTGAACCACAGTTAGACAAAACAGTGCAGCTTTTGACACAGTATCATAGTGATTTCCTCACATCTTTTCTCAGGGCACTTGTAATTTTTAATGAAGCTAGAGGATACGGTATATAGCCCAGACGATTTAAGCTCAGAGAGTGAAACTGGAGTGGGGATGTATTTTTGGTCATGGCCCCATCTAAGGATTCTTTAAAGAATAATTCACAATTCTGATGATTTGCTATTTCTTTAGATGACTTTGTGTATATGTTTTGCTTTTCCTTCTGTTCCAGGACCACCACTGCCCAGTTCAGGAAATGAGCAGCACTCATCAGCCTCCATCTTCGAGCACGTGGACAGGATCGCCCGCCCCCCGGAGGCTAGCCGGCGGGTCCCCAGTAAGATCCAGCTTATCGCCATGCAGCCGATCCCGGCACCCCCTGTGCAGCGCCCTTCCCCAGCTGACCGAGTGGCAGAAACCAATAAAATCAACAAAGAGGTATTTGCTTATATTAAAAAGTCTGTTAATTAAAAAACTCACCTGGGCACAGTGGCTCACGCCTGTAATCCTTGCATTTTTGGAGGCCAAGGCAGGTGGATCATCTGAGGTGGGGAGTTCGAGCCTAGCCTACCCAACATAGTGAAACCCCATTTCTACTAAAAATACAAAATTAGCCTGGCTTGGTGGCATATGCCTGTAATCCCAGCTACTCAGGAGGCTGAGGCAGGAGAATCACTTGAACCCTGAATGGGGAGATTGCAGTGAGCCAGGATCATGCCACTGCATTCCAGCCTGGGTGACAGAGTAAGACTCTGTCTCAAAAACAAAACAAAAAAAAAAAAAACAACTCATACTCTGATACTCTGATTTGGTCAGTGTTTGAAAATGAGTGCAAGTTACAGTATCAACTGGTCATTAAAGGCATAAGCTGTTGACAGGGATTCTTAATGTAAAACCTAATGCTTGTTGGAGATCAGACACTGAGCATGGAACTGTGGGGGCGCATTGGCAGATGTGCAGAAAAGTGTTAGCATGGCCGACCAGGGGCTGCTTTCCTCAGAAAGAGCCACTTCAGCTTCTGATCCTCCTCATGCTGAGACCCAGTTCAAGTCTCCATCTTTGGGGATGACACTCTGCGGAGCAGGTGGGTCTCATGTCAGGGAACTTGTTTCAGTGACACTAGGTAATTATCTTCCTTCCATTTTTCAGTCTTATTTAAAAATCTCTAAAGGAGGAAAATATTCTTGTCTCAGGGCATATTATATCTAGCTATCAGATGTGTCTTCAAAGTTGTCACCAGCAGATTTCCAAGGTTCGAGTGATTTTTTTTCCTCTGCTTTCGGGAATGGTGACAAGACTCCAGTGCACCATGCAGTGCTTGGGGATAAAGCTCGTGGGATGGCTGGGTCTCTGGTCTTGCCTGGGCTGTGCCTGTCACCCTCTGGGTGACTCTGTGGAACCTACAGACAGCAAATTAAGGGTGGGTGAGATGAGCAAAGCAGGAAGGCTTTTCTAAAGGCTTTGCCGGCAGGCGCGGTGGCTCATGCTTGTAATCCCAGCACTTGGGGAGGTCAAGGCAGGCAGATCATTTGAGGTCAGAAGTTCAAGACCAGCCTGGCCAACATGGTGAAACCCCATCTCTACTAAAAAATACAAAAAAAATGAGCCGGGAATGGTGGCAAGCACCTGTAATCCCAGCTACTCGGGAGGCTGATACAGGAGAATCACTTGAACCCGGGAGGTGGAGGTTGCAGTGAGCTGAGATCATGCCACTGACTCTATCTAGCCTGGGCGGCAGAGTGAGACTCTGTCTCAAAAAAAAAAAAAAACATAAATAAAAATAAAAATAGATAAATAAAAGGCTTTGCGAAGTGTGCGTCCCAGAAGCCTCCCAGGACTTCCGCGGCTGTCGTTCTCTCCTGTCCCCCTTCCTCAGATTCAGACCGCTCTGCGCCACAAGTCTGAGATCGAGCACCACCGCAACAAGATCCGCCTGCGCGCCAAGCGCCGCGGCCACTACGAGTTCCCGGTGGTGGACGACCTGTCCTCGGGCGACACCAAGGAGCGGCACCGGGTATACCGCAGGGCGCAGATGCAGATCGACAAGATCTTGGACCCCACGGCCAGCGTGCCCTCCGTGTTCATAGAGCCCAGAAAGAGGTGGGCTGGGCGCCTGTGGCTGGGTGGCTGGGAAGGGTGCGTGCTTCGGTGGCACAGGAGCAGGACAGGAGCCCCTCTGCTGCTGCAGGGCCTGTGGCAGACGGACCCCATCCGCGTTCACGTGGAGGTCACTGAAAACAGTTGAAGGGGTCCCTGCACTGAAGGATGTGGAGGCCATTTGGAAGGCATCCCCTGGCTGAGGGTCACCTTGGTGTGGGAGGTGTCAGCTTTGTTCTTACTCTGCCCCTCCGCCTGCCTCGGGATTTCATCTGTCTCTTCCACTTGAGCCTATCTAAAACTGCACTCACCCTTTCCTTCCCACCTCGGCTCCTTCTGTGGCGTCCTTGGCTCTCCCTCACCTCCCACTCTGTCACCTCCACTATTTTCATCTCCGGGAGCTACCCAGGCCGGTGTCTGGCAGATCTGCATTGGTTTTCTCACAGCTGCCTGCAGGGTCTGGGGTCTCACCTTCCCCCGGCCTCCCAGACTCCCACCCCGACATAGATGCATTTTCCTTAAACACAGCGCCCATATATGTCGTTCTCTGCTCAAAACCCGGGGTGGCTCTTGTTGCCTGCCAGGTGGGACCTGTGTACCTGTCGCAGGTTGGCCCCGCCCCTCCACTCCACCTCTTTTCCAAGGGTCAGCCACATGGACAGAACCGCCACCCAGGAGACTGCCTGGTAGTCCCTGAGCATTCATCTGCCTGCGGTTTCTGCCTCTGGCACCTGCTTCCCACATCCCTCCCTGGCTGCAGGTCCTGTTAACTCTCTAAGACCCCATTCCCGTCCATGGGGCTAAGAGTCCCACTGACCTCTCCTTTTCTGAACATCTGTACAGGTAAATGATGTCATGATTATAGAGGGCTTCGTATCATTCTTTGTGGCTCCCTGTGGGTTAATAGGTCTGTTTGGGTAGGCACTGAGCTTCCTTAGAGCAGAGGCTGTGTCGTAGGCGCCATTTATATCCTAGAGGGTATTGACTCCAGTGACCAGTGCACGCTGCGTGCTCAGGGTACTTAGTGTTTAGTTGATAAACCAGTGGCAAAAAGGGTTATTTCCTACGAAGATAATTTATCTTTTTCTTGGCAGCTCACGGATAAAACGTTCTCCCAAGCCTCGCCGGAAACACCAGGTCAACGGCTGTCCTGCTGATGCTGAGAAGGACAGGCTCATCACCACAGACAGCGATGGCACCTACCGGAGGCCCCCCGGTGTCCACAACTCAGCCTACATTGGATGCCCAGTGCGTGCCACTGACTCCGGCTTCTGAAACGGGCAGGGTGGAGCAGGGTGGGGCAGGGTGGGGCAGGGTGGGGCAGGGCGGGGCAGGGCAGGGCGGTTCCTAGAAGATGCGCCAAAGAGGGAAGAGAAGCAGCTGCTGGCTGCCGCCTTTTGTGGTGTCCACACCTGACAGCTGATGCGCCAAGGCCCTCTAGGTCATGAAGTGGGTGGGGTGGTCACCCCTTCTAAGGGGAGACTTGAGTCCCGTCAACCAGGGTGCTGCCGAGTGCCATCTCTGGAAACACACTCTGTGTTTTTCCTCTTTATATGTAAGCCCTGCTCTCTCAGACTTCACAATGGGACATGTTCGAGGTTAACTGGAAAACAGAGAGAGAGAGAGAGAGAGAGAGAGAGAGAGAGAGAGAGAGATAGAGATATCCTCAAGGTTTTTTTCCTTTTCCCTAGTCAGAGGGTTATTTGGTTTTGTTGTTGTTTTTTATTTTTATTTTTTTGTGAGACAGGGTCTTACTCTGTTGCCCAGGCTGGAGTGCAGTGGTGTGATCAAGGCTCACTGCAGCTTCAGCCTCCTGGGCTCAAGTGATTCTCCCACTTCAGTCTCCTGAGAGCTAGGACCACAGGCATGCACCACCATACCTAGCTAATTAAACATTTTTTTTTTGTAGAGGTGGAATCTCAGCATGTTGCCCAGGCTGGTCTCAAACTCCTGGCCTCAAGTGATCCTCCTGCCTTGGCCTCCCACAGTGCTAGGATTACAGACGTGAGGGCATGACGTTGAGATCAAGAGTCTTATGCTGTACTGACTGAGCTAGCCCAGCTGGATTTCCTAATGGGAGGAGGGATATTTAGGGTTTTATTTCCCTGTACTGTCTTTGAAGTGCTAATGAGATAGTGTATTTGCTTATATATGTTTTACTTTTATGGGAGAAAGAGGTTAATGGAAATTAAGAAATAATGAATGGTGGCTCATACCTGTAATGCCAGCACTTTGAGAGGCCAAGGTAGGCGGATTGCTTGAGCCCAGGAATTGGAGACCAGCCTGGGCAATATAGGAAAACCCCATCTCTCCAGAAACTACAAAAATTAGCCAGGCGTGGTGGTGCATGCCTGTAATCCCAGCTACTTGGGAGGCTGAGGTGGGAGAATTGCTTCAGCCCAGGAGGTTGAGGCTGCAGTGAGATTTTTGCACCACTGCACTCCAGCCTGGGTGACAGAGCAAGACCCTGGCTCTAAATAAATTAGTAAATAAGGGACTTTTTTTTCTAAATTAACAGAGGTCCAGACAAATTTGCTTCAAGTGTTAAAGGCAAATATTGATAGCATAAGATGCATACACATAGACTGCACTGAGTAGGGGAGAGAGAACCAGCCTCACTTAATGCCCATGAGAAATACAGACACAAAGGCACCCCAAGACAGAGAGGACGAGCCAGCTACAGCTAACCTAGGCAGCACTGGGAATCAGAGGGCGTCCTGAACTCCGTGCCAGGAAAGTCCTGCCCTGCTGCAGCAGGCCCCTTTCTTCTGCTGGAGGCACTCACAGGGCCAGCCTTGTTTAGAGACATGTTAGCAAAAAGCACACCCTTCCAGAAGGGATTCACGACGGACGTGAATCCCTCTATCACTTTAGATAGAGCTTATGCAAGCAGCCACATCTTGGTTGAGGTTTGTATTTTTCTCCTAAATTATACAACTAACAAGCACTTAAAAATGCTAAATATAATCACACAAATGTGCCAAACACTATACTGTGATGGGACCTAAATACAGCTGAATTATGATCATCTGAAAGAACCAGACTTTTCCTTAGGAACTTAGGGTATTTCTAGGCTCCTGAAGACCGACCTTGATCTACTCATGAGGATCGGTGCGATTCCAGAGAGTTGGGCCCTCTATAAATTAAACTACTTTCTTCCTCAGAATGAATTGGGTAGTTCCTGTTACTTTCTAGAAGTAGTAGTGCTTGGCTGCTCTTACAGTAGGTGGTGCTCTTGTGCTGTGTTGGGTTCTGGGGGCATTTGGGCATCTGTGGTGTTTGGCTTGATCTGGGAAGGGCTTCCCAGGGTTGTCACCCAGAGCTTCTGTCTGTGCCAAGTGGAGGCTTGGTGTGGTGTGGAACTAACAGGTAGAAGGGGCAGCCTCCCGTCTTCCCCGTCACTTCTGCAGCCAACCTGGGCTCCTCTCTCAGAAAAATCTGTGGGGAGCCTTCTCAGCCCCCTCCCTTTGATTTTTTAAATGCTCGAGTTTTCTATGGGGAGGAACCTGTCTTCGTTTGCCTGCCTCAGTGACTCTAGATCAAGCTTCTTTCATGGTGGCTGCGCCATCTTTTTTTCTTCCTTTTTTCCTTAGCAGAGAGTGCAGGTTCCTCCTCCTGTGGGTGCGGAGCAGCTTTTCCTGGAAAACACCACCCCAGCGGCTGCTTGCCTTTAGCGACTCCTTTCAAAGATTTCCCTAAAATAAAAATCTTCCTCAGATTTTGAATTCTGAAACACTTTCTTTCAAAGATAATGCCTTTCTCAGAAATTATCTTTTCTTAGGTAGTTTATCTTTCCGCGCCCCCCCCCCCCCCACCCACACCAACTTTTATTAGAGAATCAGTGGTACATGTACAGGTTTTTTTTTATTTTTTTCATCTTCAAGCCTATACTAGGGAAGTACTATGTGTTTTAGAATTACATTGAATTTTCCACTTTCCCTTCAAAAATACCTTCTCCTTGAGGGCTCTGTTCTCCTAAGGCCAAGAGAAATATTCCTTGGTTCCTTGTAATGAGGGTTACCATTATAATTCAGGCTTTGCTGGAAATCCAGCCAGCTGCCTTTTTTTGTAAGTAATTTTTTTTTTTGAGACACTTCAGCTCTGTTGCCCGGGCTGGAGTGCAGTGACGCAATCACAGCTCACTGCAGGCTCAATCTCCCCAAGCTCAGGTCATCCTCCCACCTAAGCCTCCCAAGTAGCTGTGATTACAGGCACATGCCACTTTGCATGGCTGATTTTTATATTTTTAGTAGATCTGGAGTTTCACCAGGTTGCACAGGCTGGTCTCAAACTCCTGGGCACAGTGATCCTCCTGCATTGGCCTCCCAAATTTCTGGGATTATAGACATGAGCCAACCAAGCCTGGCCTAAATAAAGTTTTATTGCAACAACCACACCCATTTGTTAGCTTGATATCAATGACTCTTTTTGCTGCAAGGCAGAGGTGAGTAGTTGCGACAGACTGTATGACTCATAAAACCTAAATATTTACCGTCTGGTCCTTTACAGAAAATGTTTGATGTAATTTATCATCCAATCCAGACACTTTTGAAAGTGTAAGGGGGTGTACTACATCATAGTGGGACAACAGGCATAAGCTGAGGTGGTTCTGGGCAACCAGGCTGTGTGATCACTCTCCTGCGACACCCATAAAGGACTGCGAAATTGGCACCAAAATATGTGACTTTGATGATTCACAGTAAAAACATGCAAATTTCTTTCTGAAGAATGATAGATAAACTGTATCTGAACACATCTCTATGTGAAACATCTATATTCTAAATATAGATTTTATAAGATAGAAAATTGAGTAAAACCTCTTCTTGGCCTGTAAATTCTGGCAGTCTTGTCTGCAAAATGAGGAGAAAACAGGAAGAGGAAGGACAGGAAGCGGAAGCATCCTGGCCCAGGTGCTCCCGGCCTTCTGGCAGGATTCATGGGGCCCAATGGGAATCCAAGGGAACCATCCTTCCCATCTGCAGGTGGTCTCTCTCGTATAGAAGTGTATAGCCTTCTCTGAAATTCTGACTGCCAAGAATGAGATTGGTGGTGATTGTAGCCGCTGGGGACTCTCCTCAAGCATCTGAGATCTTTCCCACAGTGGAATCTCAGTTTCACCTGCAGTCTTTTGGTCACCATGCTGCAGTAGAGCCACACAGGCAGCCACCGGAATCACCGCCAGGAACTTCGCTTCTGTCTCTGGAGAAACCCTCTTAGTTATCAGTAGGCTGTTCCTCCAGACACGCCCTCCCTTCTTTCCACCGTGAGCTGTAGGTTGATGGTACATTGCTGACCAGGGTTCTTCATCTGCTCCTCAGGAAAATCAAGAATTGGAGAAGGGCCTGACTGTAAGAAAGGAGCACAGGTTTCTTCCAAGGTGACATCATCAACCAGAGGCCACCTTGGGTCCCCAGATTCTCACTTAGAATTCCTCAAGGACAAATCTCACTTAGTAGAACCTCTACTGGGATATTGCCATTTGGGGGAAATGGACTTATAAGCCCAAGCGTGTCACGTGTATGAGAGGGAGGCCACCGGTGGAGACTGCCATGGAGAGAAGAGCAGAGCAGCTACCCTACCCGAGGGCAGTAGCTGCTTCATGGCAGCTGGTGGTTCCTGTGTGGAGTGAGGGCCTGGTCATGCCGGAGCCTCAGACTCCATCAAGAGATCCCAGAAGTCTGAGTGTTAATATGAAATTTCCAGATGTTTAAAACAGTGGTTATCAATGAAAAGAGTATGCGGGCCAAGTAAAACCTGTCTGTGGGCTGACCGTGGTTTTACGAGTTTGGTTCAGTCTCGGTTTGGAGTTAAGAACCTCCTGGCCTTCACGCTGGCAGGAATAATAACGGATCACCTGTTAGGAAGCATTTTCCAACAGGGGCTAAGGTTAAGGATATGTCTGTGGAGTAGTTTATCTTTGTAATAGACCCACTGATCCAGGCGGTAAGGGAATGTCTTCCTTGGCCCATTGAGTACGATGGTCCAACTCACTGGGCTAAACTGCAGGCACGTAGCAAGTGAAGCGTTCTAGATAGAAGCTGCCCACCCTTCCTCACAGGGGGTGGGGTCCCCAGTCCCTAGAGCAGAACCTCTTCTCTCTTCGCTGTGTCTGCTGCAGTCACCTTGCTGTTTGGGCTTATGGAGCCTGTAAGACCAGAAAGGACTCTCCTTCCATTGGTTCCTAACTGTCTCATAATTTGCCCAGTGTAGATGATGACCATGTTTTGTTCATAACAGGATTGAGAACTGAGATGTTCTGTTCTTTTCTCTTTTTGTTTTGCCAGGCTGTGTTGCCAGGCTGGAGTGCAGTGGTGCAATCTCTGCTTGCTGCAATCTCCACCTCCTGGGTTCAAGCAATTCTTCTGCCTCAGCCTCCCAAGTAGCTGAGACTACAGGTGCATGCCACCACACCCAGCTAATTTTTGTATTTTTAGTAGAGATGGGGTTTCACTATGTTGGCCAGGATGGTCTTGATCTCTTGACCTCATGATCCGCCCACCTTGGCCTCCCAAAGTGCTGGGATTACAGGCATGAGCCACTGCGCCCGGCCGCGAAATGAGATTTTTAAAAATCTTTATTGTTACTTATATTTCTACCTCTTAAACAGTAGATAGAGAACATAATTGAAACCTTTCTTAATGACTCATGTGATCCAGAGTTACCTTCATTTTAAAGACAAATGGTTCTGAATAGTTTTCATAAAATATTGTAATTGCTTACACAATATACGGGGTTTTTTTTTAAGAGTCTAGGTCTCTCTGTCACCCGGGCTGGGGTGCAATGGGGCAATCATAGCTCACTGCAACCTCCACCTCCTAGGCTCAGGAGATTCTTCTGCCTCAGCCTCGTCAGTAGCCCGGACTGCATCTGCTCACCACCACCCTCAGCTAACTTTTAAGCAATTTTTTGTAAAGATGGGGGTTTTGCTATGTCGCCTAGGTTAGTTTCAAATTCGTGGCCTCCCTGGAATTGGTCCTCCTGTCTTGGTCTCCCATGTTGCTGGGATTACAGGTGTGAGCCACTGTACCCAGCCCACATACCTAGTTTTAATATGCATAATTTTAAAAGTTTTGATCTTTTAAGGGTATGTAAGGCTATTTTCTTTTTTTTTTTTTTGAGATGGAGTTTCACTCTTGTTACCCAGGCTGGAGTGCAATGGCGTGATCTCGGCTCACCGCAACCTCCGCCTCCTGGGTTCAGGCAATTCTCCTGCCTCAGCTTCCTGAGTAGCTGGGATTACAGGCATGCGCCACCATGCCCAGCTAATTTTTTGTATCTTTAGTAGAGATGGGGTTTCACCATGTTTACCAGGATGGTCTTGATATCTTGACCTTGTGATCCACCCACCTCGGCCTCCCAAAGTGCTGGGATTATAGGCTTGAGCCACCGCGCCCGGCCTGTATGGCTATTTGCTAATAGCCAGTAGACTGTTTACTCTTTGGCTTCTATCTATGGAAATTTACTGGTTGTTTTTAGTATATACACTTTAGTATATACACTTTGAAATACAGTGTTTTGCTGTTTAGGAGCTTTCAGTAAAAGCGTTCCCTTCCAGGCACTGAAAGGCTTTGTAAATAGAGTGTTATTGAAAAACTGATTGTTGAATGTTGCCAATTTTTTTCTGATTCGAGCTTCCCCATTCCTTCCCATGAAATGTAATGCACATTCCTCAGATGTCATTTTTTTAAATTTTTTTGAGACAGGGTCTCACTCTGTCATCTAGGCTGGCGTACAGTGATGTGATCATAGCTCACTGCAACCTTGAATTCCTGGGCTCAAGCTGTCCTTTCACTTCAGCCTCCCAAGTAACTGGGACTGCAGGTGCACATGACCACACCTGGCTAATTTCTTTCTATCTTTCTTTCTTTTTTTTTTTCAGAGCTGGGGTCTCACTATGTTGCCCAGGCTGGCCTCAAACTCCTGGTCTCAAATGCTCCTCCACCTCAGCCTCCCAAAGTCTTGGGATTCAAGGTGTGAGCCACTGTGCGCAGCCTCAACTGTCATTTTTTTAAATTCTTAGGATAGAACTTTTCCTCAGTGTCAGGAAAACTGTTTAGGGTTGACACAAAAACTCATGTGTGATTCTTCCTTTGCCATTTCCCACTGTAGTCGGATCCTGACCTCCCAGCCGATGTGCAGACACCATCTTCGGTGGAACTGGGGAGGTATCCAGCCCTTCCCTTCCCGGCCTCTCAGTACATCCCGCCCCAGCCATCCATCGAGGAGGCACGCCAGACCATGCACTCCCTCCTGGACGACGCCTTTGCCCTTGTGGCCCCCAGCAGCCAGCCTGCTAATGCCGCAGGTGCGGGCCCAGGAGTCCCACCAGGCCTGCCCGTGAACAGCACCCCTTCCCGGGAAGAAAGGCGAGCCACCCAGTGGGGGTCCTTCTACAGCCCAGCCCAGACAACCAACAATCCCTGCAGTGTAAGTACTGGCCTAGAATTTTCTGGTGGACAAGATGTTAAAGCTTTGTTGCCTGACTCCTCACTTTGAGGCATTTGATAAGAATTAAAACACGGATGATGGATCTTAGTTTTGATCTTCTACTAAATTCATTCTTAATGTTGGAAGTATCCTTTTATGCAGGTTTACAGGCTCATGCCCGTAATCCCAGCAATTTAGGAGCCCAAGGCGGGAGGACTTTTGCTTTGCCTAGGAATGGAGGGGGATTTTATGGAAGCTTCTTTCTGTGTTCCTCACAGTGTCATGAATGGAGGTGGGGTAACTGTCGAATGCATCCTTGTTGATGTCTCCAGAAAAGTTGCAGTTTAGAATGTATCCAGATCGTTCAGCTTCTTGTACAGCCACCTGGTAATGGAGAGACCCCTGAGGTTCTGGGACTGTGGGCAGCCAGTCCCCATGTGGGCAGTGATAGCCACCTTCAAATGTCAGCTTCCCATCTTAGGGGTTGACATTTCAGCATTTCATCTGCCTTGGTTATCATTTATGTTTTTCTTAGACAGTCCTTTAAAATTTACCTTCCTGAGAGACAGAGAAGAAGTAAAACTCAAGGAAATAAAGGTAACATTATTTTTTACTAATTTCAGATGAAATTATTGGACTAAGATTTGACACTGAAGAGAAGCTAATAGGTCGCAGTATGAATTTATTAGACAGGGAGTGTTTATACTGGTCCACCTTATGATGGTGAAATTGAGTGGCAATAATCATATGGTAAAATATTTTTTACCTCTGAAATAGGTTTGAATTTTCAAAGTGGGCCTTTAGCAATAGCTTGTTTCCTTCGGGGCATAAGTGGCATGGAGCCTACAGTATGGGTAACTGCTGTCATGTGGGGTGGGGTGGAAATACCAGTCAATTGAACTATTCTTGTTTTTAATTTTTAAATATAACTTGTTCCAACAGATATCTTCAAAATTACAACTAGTTTATAATTCAGGAAATGTGTGGTACAGAGCAAACCTCGGTGATAAAATAAATGTGGATCCCACCGCCATCTGGTCACTTTAAACATTTCTCATTTGCTTATCCATTCAAATATATTTACAAAGCACCGGCTGGATTGCAGGTCCTCTGCTTGGGTGCTGGAGATAGAGTAGTGCCCAATACAGGCCCCTGACCTCCGGTTCTTGCATTCCACTGGAGGCTCTGTGGACAATCGAGACTGTAATTCCAGTACAGCGTGGAAGGTGCCGTGGCAGGAGGTGGTGATGTGGGAGGGGCATCTCGCAGAGCCTTGAGGTCTTTTGCAAAGGACTTTTGTGGACAAAATAGCATCTCTGTGGAGGTCTCAAGGATAACTAGTGGTTGTCAGTTGAAGAATGTTGCAGGTGGTGGGAAGTAGAAATTAAAGAGTATGAGACAGGCTTCTTTTGGACAAGAGGGAGGAACACAGCCTGCGTTTACCTTCCTTCCTGAGACATGAAAACACTGAAAGGACGGCTGGGCACAGTGGCTCATGCCCGTAATCCCAGCACTTTGGGAGGCCAAGGCAGGTGAATCACGAGGTCAGGAGTTCAAAATCAGCCAGGCCAAGATGGTAAAACCCCATCTCTACTAAAATACAAAAAATTAGCTGGGCATGATGGTGCATACCTGTAATCCCAGCTATTTGGGAGGCTGAGGCAGAGAATTGCTTGAACCCAGGAGGTGGAGGTTGCAGTGAGCCAAGATCACATCACTGCACTCCAGCCTGGGCAAAAGAGTAAGACTCTGTCTCAAAAAAAAAAAAGGAAAACAAAAACACTGAAAAGAGTATCTGGGTGACATGACATTAGACATTAGGCAAGAAGGGACAGGTATCAGTGAGAAGTGAATTGAGCCCTCTAGTTGCTCCAGCTTATGTCTGGAGTTTGTAGTCATGGTGCAGGGGCTAGCACACCAGGCAGAGCCCCGTGGTCTCCCTGAATTGAAGAAATGGAGTTTGGAAGTCTGGGGAGGAAAAGGCAGCTGCAGTTCACAAGAGAGAGTACAGGAAAGGAGAGAGATGTCCGAGCAGGATTGTAGGCATCTGCAGAGAATCTTTGAGTACTGATGGGTTTATGGGTATACAGAAACTACCCAAAAGGGCCCCCAAAAAAGATCAGAAAAAACAATCCTCAAAATTCACACAGGCCTGGGAATAAGCTGTTGCTATGGGTTGAACTCTGTTCTCCCCCAAATCACAAGTTGAAACTGTAACCCCCCACGTGACTGCGTTGGAGATAAGGGCCTTTAGGAAGGTGATTAAGAGTAAATGAGGCTGTAGGGGTAGAGTCCCCATTCAATAGAACGGCTGTCCTTAGAAGATGAGGAAGAGACTCCAGAGCTCTCTGTCCAACCAGGTTAGGACACAGAAGGCAACTGTCTGAAAGCCAGGAAGAAAGGCCTCACCTGAAACTGAACACTGCCAGACATGGATGTAAGACATTCCAGTCTCCACAACTACCAGAAAATAAGTTTCTGTTGTTTTAATCCACCAGTTCTAAGGTATTTTGTTGTGGCAGCCTGAGCAGGTGAACGCAGCGTCTTTCCCAGCAGTCGGTGGAAATTGCATGATTCATGCAACATCAGTTAGAGTACTCGGAAGCATTTGGCCTTAAAGCTGATCTGGTTCCACCTAACAAACCACAAAAGCATGACATCTAAACCCAAGCAAAACTCAAGAATATTTATAGAAACACAAAAATATGCAGCAGTCAGTAAGGTAAAATTAATAACGTCTGCATCAAATCAAACTAAACAGACAAACGGAGAAGCAGGAAAGTGACACAGATGATAGAATTAGTGGACAAGCGGTGCGCAGTGGCTCACACCTGTAATCCTGGCACCTTGGGAGCCTGAGACAGGAGGATTATTTGAGCCCAGGACTAACCTCGGCAACACAGTGAGACTCTGTTTCTACAAAAAAATGTAAAAATCAGCTGAGCACTACTTAGGAGGCTAGGGTGGGAGGATCACTTGACCCTGGGAGGCTGAGGCTACAGTGAGCCATGATTGCACCACTGCACTCCAGCCTGGGTGACAGAGTGAGACCCTGTCTCAAAAAAAAAAAAAGAAAAAAAGAATAAAAAAAGGACTAGTAGACAGAATATTAAAAGAATTCTTATAATGGAGTTCCATAGATTAAAGAAGCTGGAGGAAAGAGTGTACACATTAACTAGAAGCATTGAAAATATTAAAGGACAAAAATCAAGCTTAGAGATAAAAACTATAGTCTCTGAGATGAAAAAATATACTGGATGGGATTGAAGGTAGATTGCATATTGCAGAAGAAAAAATTAGTGGGCTATAGTAATAAAAACAGAAACATAGACCAGTGGAACAGAACAGAGAGCCCACAAATAAATCCACATATATATAGTCAACTAATTTTTGACAAGGGCACCAAGAGGACACAATGGGGAAAGGACATTCTTTTCAGTAAATGATGAAGGGAAAACTAGATTTCCACACGCAGAAGAATGAAGTTGGACTCCTGTACACAAAAATCAACTCAAAATGAATAAAAGACCTATGTGTAAGAACCAAATTATAAAACTCCTAGAAGAGAACATGGGGGAAAAGCTCTTTGATATTGACCTTGGCAATGATTTTTTGGGTATCACACCAAAAGCTCAGGTTATAAAAGCAAAAATAAATAAATGGTACTGTATCAAATGAAAAAGCTCTGCACAGCAAGGGAAACATTGAAAATGTTTCAGTGAAAAAGGCAACCTACAGAATGGAAAAGAATATTATATACCACGTATCTGACAAGGACTTAGTATCAAAAATTTATTTTAAAAAACTCTTACAACTCAATAGTGAAAAAATAAATAATCCAATTTAAAAATTGGCAACTGATTTGAACAGACATTTTTCCAAAGAAGACATGAAAATGGCAAACAGGTATATGAGACAGTGTTCAACATCACTAGTCATCAGGGAAATACAAATTAAAACCTCTGTGAGGCTGGGTGCAGTGGCTCACACCTGTAAGTAATCCCAACACTTTGGGAGGCTGAGACAGGCAGGTTGCTTGAGCTCAGGAGTTCAAGACCAGTCTGGCTAATATGGTGACACCCCGTCTCTACTAAAAATACAAAAATTAGCTGGGCATGGCGGTGTATGTTGGTAATCCAGCTGTTGAGGTGGTTGAGGCACAAGAATCATTTGAACCCAGGAGGCAGAGGTTGCAGTGAGCCAAGATCATGCCATTGCACTCCAGCCTGGGTGACAGAGCAAGACTCTGTCTCAAAGCAAAACAAAACCCTTTAGGAAATACTGCCTCACATTTGTTAGAATGAGTTTTATCAAAAAAGTTAAGAAATAATAAATGTTAGTGAGGGTGTGGAGAAAAGGGAACCCTCGTACCCTGTTAATGGCAATGTAGATTGGTGTAGCCATTACGGAAAATAGTGTAAAGGTTCCTAAAGAAATTAAAAATAGAACTACCATATGACCCAGCAATCCCTGTTCCTGGTATGTACCCAAAGAAGGTAAAATCACCATCTTTTAATGATATCTGCATTCCCGTGTTCATTACAACACGATTCACAGTAGCCAAGGTATGAAAATAACCGAAGCATTCATTGATGGATGAATGGATACAGAAAATGTTGTGTATGTATACAGTGGAATATTATTTATCGTTTTCAAAGGAGATCCTTTGAAACACAACAATTTCTGCTATTTGCTACGACATTTATCCTTTTCAAAGGAGATCCTTTGAAACACAACAATTTCTGCTATTTGCTACGACATTTATCCTTTTCAAAGGAGATCCTTTGAAACACAACAATTTCTGCTATTTGCTACGACATTTATCCTTTTCAAAGGAGATCCTTTGAAACACAACAATTTCTGCTATTTGCTACGACATGGATGGATCTGGAAGACATTATGCTAAGTGAAATAAGCCAGAAACAGAAAGAAAAACATTGCATGATCTCACTGACATGTGAAATCTTAAAAAAAAAAAAATTACTAGAGGTGGGAGGGGAAAGGAAGGTAGATGGAGATCAAAGGATACAAAGAAGGTGATGTGTAGGCTAAACAAGTCTAGAGATCTAAAGTTCTAGATGAGGACCGCAGTTCATAAAATTGGATTATATTGGGGATTTTGTTAAATAAGTAGATTTTAGCTACTTTTGTCCCAAAAATGTATGTAAGATGATAAATATGTTAATTTGCTTCACTGTAAGTAACCATTTTACTATCTGTATGTAGCCAGTACTATTATGTTATAAACCTCAAACATACCAAATAGAATTGTTTTTAAAAAGATATAATGGCCCAAAATTTTCCAAATTTGGTGGAAACTGAAAATCCACAGATCCATCGGTTGGTGAACACTGTGTGCAAGAAACATGAAGCAAAGTATACCAAAAAATGCCATAGTCTAAATTGCTTCAAACGAATCAAAAAGATCTTAAAAGCAGCCAGATAACAAGAACACATTATATACAGTGGAACAAAGATAAGGATGACAGAAAAAAATCTCCTTGTCCAGAAGACAGGGAAACAAATCTTCAAAGAACTGAAGGACCAAACGATTAACCTAGAATTCTGTATCTAGCAAAAATATCTTTCAAAAACCAAGCTGAAATAAAAACGTTTTCAGACATATAGAAGCTGAAATAATGCATCACCAGCTGACATGCGTTATAAGAAATGTTACAAGAAATCTTTAAGGCAGAAGTACCATGATACCATATGAAGACCTGAATCTACAGAAGTATATGAAAAACAGTGGAAATGTAAATATGTATGTGGGGAATTATTTTTTAAAACCCTCTCTTCATTATTTAAAACTTTAAAAAGGATTGACTATTTAAAATGAAAGTAACAAGCCTATATTGTGGGGGGTAATAAATATATAGAAGTAAATATATGAAACAGCAGCACAAAAGGCCAAGAAAGGAGAAATGGAAGTTTGGTATTTTAATGTTGTGTTGTTCTAATGAAGCAGAATAATAGTGCTTACTGGTAGACTGTGATAAGTGAAAAACGCGTACTAGAAACCATGAATAAGCCAACAAAGGAGTCAAAATGAAATCATTTTTTAAAAGCACAAAACAAGGCAGAAAAGGAAGTGAAAGAAGAAAAGCACAGATAGGAAAAATTATAAACAGCTACCAACATGGTTGATTTCAATCCCGCCCTATCCATAATCACACTAAATATAAATAGGCTAAACATCCCTATTAAAGGGCAGAGCTTGTCCGTTTGGATAAAAAGGAAGATCTGAGTATGTGCTGCCTACAAGAAATTGTCATTAAATGCAAAGATACAAATAGGTAAAAAGGAAAAGTATGGAGAAAAGTTTGGAGAAAGATATGCCATACTAACACTAATCATAGAAAGCTGGAGTGGCCCTGTTAATATTAGCCAAAGTAGATCTCATAGTAAAGAATACTATTAAAGATTAAGAAGATCATTTCATAATAAAGTGGTCAGTTCATCTGGAAAACATAAAGTCTTACATGTTCATATACATAGTAATAGAGCTTCAAAGTACATTAAGCAAAAACTGATAAAATTGCATGTAGAAATCTACAATTATGTTGATGAGAATGTGAGCAACTGGAAGTCTTATGAACTGCTGGTGGAAATGTAAAATAGCACAGTCACCTTGAAAAACAGTTTGGCAGTCTCTTTAAAAAGTTAAACATACATCCTACCATATGAACCAGCATTCTATTTCTAAGTATTTACCCAGGAGAAACAAAAGCATATTTTCATATAGAGACTTGTACAGATTTATTTTAAATAGACCCAAAGAAAATAGCAGCATAAAATAGTATTCAATTTATGGATATACCACATTTGTTTATCCATTCACATGTAGGGTCTACTATTTAAAATAGGGTTCTCCAGAGAAATAGAACTAGGTGTGCATGTGCGCCCCCGTGTGTGTGTGTGTGTGTGTGTGTGTGTGTGTGTGTGTATGTGTGTGTGTAGAGAGCGAGGCGGGGAGAGACAAATGTACTTATTATGAGGAGTCAGCTCATGTAAGTAGGAAGGCTGAGAATCCCATGATCTGCTCTCTGCAAACTGCAAACCCATGGAAGCCAGTGGTGTAGTCTGAAGTCCTGAGGGGTGGATTCTAGTCTGAATCTGAAAGCTTGAGAACCAGGGGCTTCAAGGATGGGAGAAGATTGATGTCCCAGCTCAGGCAGTCAGGCAGAGGAAGCCCAAATCCAATCTTCCTCCATCTTTTTCTTCTATTCAGGCCTTCAACAGATTGGAACATGCCCACCCATATTGGGGAGGGCTGCCTTGCTGTCCACCAATTCAAATATTAATCTCTTCATGAAACACGCTCCAGACACACCCAGAAATAATGTTTAACCAGATATCTGGGGCGTCTGTGGCACAGTCAAGTTGATACATAAAATTAACCATTGCAGTATGTTCTAAGCAGTGAAGTGAATTCTGGCTGAGTAGTACAGAGCGGGCACTAAAAGTGGTTGAGACATGAGGCAGGAGAGGAAAACAAGAATCTGGTGGTTATGGAGCCTACACCTCATCCTGAGGGTGATGGCTGCACACGAAAGGGTTTTGAGCACGTGGAGACATAATTAGACATGCCTTTTTGAAAGAGTAGTCCCATTGTAGAGTGAAGAACAGTTGTCAGAAGCAGAGAGACCAGTAGAAAACTGTTGTAATACTTTTGGTGAGAGAGTTGGTGACTTGTGCTAGTGCAGTGCAGTTGATAAATCCAAGAAGAGGAATCAGCAGGTCTTCAACATGTTTAATGGCTGATGGTACTGAGCCAGTGCAGAAGAGGAGTTTGATAGTTCACAAAGGGGAAGAGACGAATCTGGAATACCAGTGGAGGAGCTTTCTTTAGAAATGAGGGGATATTCTTTTTCTAATGTAATGGGAAGGAGGAGGGAAAGGTTGGGCAGAGGTAAAATCAGCCTGTAGCTGGCTGGCAGGAGGTTGAGGAACCAGCCATCTCAGGACTTTAATCCTCACAGCAGAGAAGGCAGAATCATCCATTGAGAATGAGAGGAGAAATGTGGCAGGGCCAGAGGTTTAAGGGAGAGTAGAGATGTGAAAGACCTGTTATGGAGAATGAGACAGCACAGATGAGGGACATAGGAATTATTTCTTAGCCTTGAGGCTGGTTGAGATTGACTATCATGAAATTGCAGTGGCTGTAATGAAAATTCTGGAGTTTCATTGATGAACATTCAATACCAAGTATATGCATTGGGATTGATGAAGACCAGGGCTTTGTCAGGCACATGTGATGTGCAGGTGAGAGGGAGCAGTTGAAATGATAGACCAGGTGCCTCGACGGAAAGGTATGGAAAGCTAGGGCCATTTAAACATGCCAGAGCTCTGCTGATTCTTCCTCTCAAATCCATTCACACCAAGACATTAGTTGGAGCCACTGTCATCTCGTGAATAATCTCTGTGGAGTCTCAGATCTCCCTTTAATTATTTGGAAAAAGAGTGGAAGCTTCTTTTCCTTCTCTTCCTCCATTCTTCCATCACCCCCTTTCCCTTGTTTTGCCTCAGTTGAAGAACTCCACAAGGTTCCACGTAACAGCCAAGGGGATGGAAGCAGAGAGGGTCAGAAGGTGAAGTCATCTGACCACAGTTTCATATTTAATAATCCCCTCAGAACTCTATGAATGTGGAGATCATTGTATTCTCTTGGCATAAAGGAATAGGCCCAGGGATGTTAAGCCAGTCTGTCTGAATCCAAAGCCTCTACTTTTTTCCTCACAAAATAGATATTGTTCACAGGAGAGTGTCTGGTTTGGGAAACCATGGGCAGTGCTGGGGGATTGGTGAAAAGTATGGTCTTTGGAGTCCAAAAGACTGCAGGAGGAAATCACCTAATTTCTTTGTGAGTTGGTTTCATCAATAAAACAGAGGCAGTGAGTACTTTGTTAGTGATGTTGTGGGCCTGCGTTAGTTCTCATACAGTGATTAACACAAAATACTCATTCCATAAATGACAGCTTGGAAAAAGAAAAATGTCGTCACAACTTCAGAAGCAAGGCTGACTTATTCATCTCAGACAAACCATTGGTTCCAACTGACTGCAGATGGACAAACTCTGCCCATAGTTACTGTTCTGCTGAAATATCTGATTCCAAAAATAACAATACAAGTTATTAGAAAGAAACATTGAAATAAGAGTCCCACATGTATTAGGGTTAGGATATATTGATTTCACGAGGAATACAACAGATTTCTTAGATGTATATTTCTTTAAATCACGTGGCATATTGTTTTAGTCAAAGAACACTTGGCTAGTTCACATTAGCTCAAGTAAAGCGAGTTGATTGAAAAATACAGGGGGCACCTATGGAACTTACAGGCAGAAAATGTAGCTGGGTCTCCTGGGGACCAGAAAACGAGTCAGAAACAGAAGGTGCTGCCTTCGTCTTTTATAGCCTCCCTAGTTTCTGGTTTGATTGTTTTGCAGCATTCTATACCATGAGACAGCGTTTGAAACTTTAGTTGCTTGAGGTATTTGAATAGGTGCTGGGCACCCACTGGGTCTGCTGATCTTTGTGGCTCATGTGGTTGGAGTCACTGTGCCAAATGTGGCCTCTCATGCCTGCTTTTAGCAGAAGATACAGGTTTGCAGCAGAAGATACAGATGGATCTATAGGGAAGAGCAGACACAGAAAGGCTGCCAGTTATTCATATTTGTAGTTGTAATATAAAAAAGAAGGAAAGATCTAGAAATTAGTTGTGTCTTTTCTAAAGTCTGGTAGCACAGGTCCCTGAACTGAAACCCGTAGCATCGCTTGGTGGCAGAGTGCCCAGTAACATGCTAAGTTTTAATGAGAAAATAATTCTTTTGAAAGTGGATCCTGTAAAGCTGAAGTTATGTTTGCTGTTGTCACTTTATAATAAGTATTGAATATTAATCTTCATGTTCTTTTAAATGTCTTCCAGAGATATGAAGACTATGGAATGACTCCCCCAGCGGGTCCGTTGTCAAGGTAAGGTTTTCAAAACAAAATGTATTATCACTTTTTCACATAGGCTGTTTTTAAAAATTTTTATAAATTCACTAATTTTAGCTAATATGAGCAGATGTAAAACTCTGAGTTGTATATTCTCTTGATCTAACCAGAAGAGCAAGAAAAAAAGTTGGAATTTAAGTTCTGCTTCCAGTAATGACAGACTAGGTCATTTGGACCAACCCTCCTGCAGAGGACAACTGGAAAAGCCGAACAAGATATTAACATTAAAAACCCCAGAGAGGATTTTGGTCGAGCTTGGGCCAGCATGGCAGTGCCCATGTAACCCGGTCTGTGCAGCAAAGGGAATGGCAACTGCAGCGCGCACCCCACGGGGGTTAGAGGTCACCATGCTGAGGGCTGCGTGGAGGACGCTGAGTTTGATTCAGACCCAGGCAGTTACTCAGGTCCCAGTCCCCGGGCTGCTGGGCAGTGGGAGCGTCAGGTTTCCTTCCAGCCAGTGGGGCCTGCAACCTCGAAGTCTCCTCCTCCAGGCTGTGCACAGGTATGTCATCCAGAAACCAGCCCAGCCCAGGTGAGATGATGACCCATCTCCTACACTACTCAAAGACTACCAGAATGTCCCTGGAATAGAGAAGGTTGATGATGTTGTGAGAAGACTCTTGTTTTTGGAAATGGCCAACACAAAGGAGAAGCTGAAAGTCATGCAAGAACTGTTGATGAAGAAGATTGCTGCAAACCCAGAGGACACCAGATCCCTGGAGGCTCGAATTGTTCCCTTGACCATCAAGATCCGCAGTTGTGAAGAACACCTGCAGACACATTGAAAGGACAAAGCGCACAAATGCTATTTGCTGATGAGCATTGACCAGAGGAAAAAGATGCTCAAAAACCTCTGTAACACCAACTATGATGTCTTTGAGAAGGTTTTCCAGGAGACTCAAAAGGTGGAGAAGCAGAAAAGGGCCTTAAAGCCTCTTTAACAAGCAAAGCAGAGGAGCAAAACAAAGCAGAGGAACCCAGACAGTCCTACCAAAGCCAGACCAGAGACAACCAATAAATTCTGTTTGATCATTTAAAGAAAAAAAAAGTTAACAGGGCAGTGAAGTGGTGTAGGACCAAGATCCAGGAAACCCAGAGGCATGAGCCCTGCTTCTTGGGCTACTTTTCCCCCAGGGACACCTGCAGATTCCAGAAGAGGCAGCTGGGAAGCCAGGCAAAGCCTTTGACAGACTCCTGAGGCTGGGAGCACAAGGGGATACCCTGGTAAACATCCAGAGGTTTGAGTTTGGACCTTTAGGGGTTACACTGGAGGAGTAAGGGTGAGTCATAAGTAGATTAGTCCCTGCAGGGAGTATTTGAAAGTTGATTGGGGTTGCTCCCTGGCAGAAACAAATGAACATCCCTTTTAGAAGAAGATAACATCACTCTGGGCCTTACATTATTGCTACATTAGCACCCCCCCTTCCACACACACACCCACACCCACCTCCAGGCATATGAGAAGAAAAGAAAATACAGTTTTTTTTTTTTTAATTAAAAGAAATAGGCAATAGAAGCAGAACTACAGGGGATCCAGACAGTGGAGTCATCAGACACAGATTTTAAAATAATTACACTTATGCTTAATATGGAGCTAAGGTCCATTGTCCAGGAAGATGTAAAAGTACTACTTTATGTCAGACTGTAGTGTAGGACTAGGCTCACTAAAAGAATGCTTAAATATAAAATAATAAGGAAGAATAAAAGAAAGAATCCAAAAGATGGTAGAAAATAGGAGAAGAAAGAACTTAGAATTTGCAGGACCTGCAGAAAGATAATTTAAAATGATAGATATCTAAATCCAGATCTATAATTAATTACATTAAATGTTAATAACCAGAGATTTCAATTAAACAACAAGGTTATTAGATTTGATTTTTAAAAAATATATTTGACTTATGAGCGACACATCAGAAAATATAAAGATACAGAAAGGATATAGAAGATTGGAACAGTGTGATTAATCAATTTTACCTAACTGACATATACAGAACCCTGAACTCAACTGTAAAATACATCTTCCTTTAAAACACATTTTAAAAACTTACCATATGCTGGACCATAACAAATCTTAACAAATTTCAAGAAGTGAAGTCACTCAGAGTGTATTTACTAATCCTAGTAGAATGAAGTTAGAAACAAATCATAAAAGATAAAACCCAAAACTATAAAAACCTTGAAAGACAACCTAGGCGGTAGCATTCTGTTATAGGAATGAGTAAAGATTTCATGATGAAGACACCAAAAGCAATCACAGCAAAAAGCAAAAATTGACATATGGGGTCTCATTAAACTTAAAAGCTTCTGCACAGCAAAGGTCTAGTTTGCAAATATTTTTCTCCCATTTTGTAGATTGTCTGTCCTTTGGAATGGGAGAAAATATTTGCAAATTATGCATCTGACCAAGGTCTAATACTCAGCATCTATAAGGAACTTAAATTTACAAGAAAAAGAACAAGCAACTTCATTAAAAAGTGGGCAAAGGACACAGACACTTTTCAAAAGGAGACATATATGCGGCCCACAAGCATATGAAAAAAAGCTCACTATCCCTGGTTACTGAGAAATGCAAATCAAAATTACAATGAGATACCACCTCATAACAGGTCAGAATGTCTATTATTAAAAGGTCAAAAATAACAGATGCTGGTAAGGTTGTGGAACAAAGGGAATGCTTGTATACTGTTGGTGAGAGTGTAAATTAGTTTAACCATTGTGGAAAGCAGTGTGGCGATTCCTCAAAGACCTAAAAACAGAACTACCAACTGGTGGCAGAAAACAGCGGCACAGAGCGGATCCGGCACAGACCAGATTGTCACAGAAAAGATGCTTCATAAGATGTGTTTTGATTAGTATATTTAAATAAATGTAATGTAATTGATGTTAAAAAAAACAACAACTACTACCTTTTGATCCAACAATTGCATTAATGGGCATATACACAAAAGAATATAAATTGTTCAGCTGTAAACAAACATCCATGCAAATGTTCCTGGAAGCAGTATTCACAATAGCAGAGACATGGAATCAACGCAAATGCCCATGAGTGACAGATTGGAGTTAAAAAGTGGAATGCATACACAATGTAATACCATGCAGTGATAAAAAAGAGCAAAATCATGTCCTTTGCAGGACATGGATGGAGCCAAATGCCATTATTCTTAGCAAACTAATGCAGGAACAGAAAACCAAATACTGCATGTTCTCACTTATAAGTGTGAGCTAAATGATGAGAACTCATGGACACAAAGAGGGGAACAACAGACATTGGGGCCTACTTTAGGGTGGAGGGTGGGAAGATGGAAAGGAGCAGAAAGAATAACTGTTGGGTACTAGGCTTAGTACCTAGGTGATGAAATAATCTGTACAACAAACCTCTGTGGCGTGAGTTCACCTTTATAAGGTACCTGTACGTATACCCCGAACCTAAAATGAAAGTTAAAAAAAGAAAAATTTCTGTTTGCCAATTAATTAGTACTCTTCTAAATAACCTATGATACACTGAAGAAATCAAAATGGAAATTGAAACATCCTAAAATGAATAATGATGAAAATACAATGTATCAAAAGTTGTGAGATGCAGCTGTAGCAGTGTTTGGGGGAATTTGTTGTCTTAAATGCATATACTGGAAAGAAAAGTGGCTGAAAATCAGTGATCTAAGCATCCACCTCAAGATATAAAAAAAGATCCAATTAAATGTAAAGGAAGTAGAAGTAAAGAAATACTACTACTAATAATATAAATTAATGAAATAGAAAATAAATACCACATTGAGAGGATTAATAAAGCCAAAAGTTAGTTCTTTAAAAACTAATAAAATTGATAGACTCTCACAAGTTTGATCAAATAATCTGTGCAACAAATTATCAATAAGAGAAATTAAAAGGACACATTAATCCAGATCTTACAGACATTAAAAAGGAGATTTTATAAACCCATTTTTCTTAATAAATTTGGGGCTGTATGCAGTGATGCATGCTTGTAATGTCAGCTACTCTGGAGGCTGAGATGAGAGAATCACTTAAGCTCAGGAGTTTGAAACTACCCGGGGCAACATAGTGAGACCCTGTCTCAAATTTTTTTTTTTTCTTGGAATGGAAAAATTTCTAGGAATAGAAAACTTGAATAGTGGAAATTATGATTACAGTTCTTCCCACAAACAAAACTCCAGGTCCAGTGGCTTCAACAGTGAATTCTGCTTAACACTGAAGGAGGAAGAGGTACCAGTATTATACAAACTCTTCCACAAAATAGAAAAAGAACACTTCCCAATTCATTTTATGAAACCAATATCTCCTTGATACCAGGGACAAGGGCAAGAAGGACAAGGACATTGCAGGAAAGAAATTGAGGACCATTTTCTCATGAATGTAGATATAAAAAAATTGAAACTAAATATCAGTGAGCATAACTCAGCAGTAGATACAAAAGGATATCATGTAGGCCGGGCGCGGTGGCTCAAGCCTGTAATCCCAGCACTTTGGGAGGCCGAGGCGGGTGGATCACGAGGTCAAGAGATCGAGACCATCCTGGTCAACATGGTGAAACCCCGTCTCTACTAAAAATTACAAAAAATTAGCTGGGCATGGTGGCGCGTGCCTGTAATCCCAGCTACTCAGGAGGCTGAGGCAGGAGAATTGCCTGAACCCAGGGGGCGGAGGTTGCGGTGAGCCGAGATTGCGCCATTGCACTCCAGCCTGGGTAACAAGAGCGAAACTCCGTCTCAAAAAAAAAAAAAAAAAAAAAGGATATCATGTTACAACCACATTGGATTTTTTTTCCAGCAATGTAAGGGTGATTTAGCATTTAAAAACCAACCAGTATAGTTACTACTTTAAGGAGAATAATGGAGGAAAAACTTGTCATTTCAATAGATACAGCTGGTGGTAAAATTCAACATGCAATTATGGTAAAAATCTTGGCAAACAAAGATAGAAGTGAACTTGTCTATTCTGCTAAAAGATATCTTGACAAAATTACTCAATGGTGAAATGTTAAAAAGCCTTCTCTCTGAGAGCAAGAACAAGTCAAACTTTCCTGCTCACATGACTTCTATTCAAAATTACCCTGTAATAAGGCAAGAAAAACATGAAAAGAGTAAAGAATTCAAAGAAAGGAGTAATACTGTGTTATTATTCACAGATTATATGATTCTGTAGTAGCAAATCCTAAAATGTCAATTCACAAATTGTTAGAATTTAGCAAAATTGCTAAATAGCAAGCTAACTAAATTGCAAAATAACTGGATATAAAATCAGTCTACAAAAATCTGTTTTATATAAGCAACAAACAGAAAAGATGTTTAAGCCCTCTAAAGAAAGATGTTCACAGATTGGGCAACTCAATATTTTAAAAATGTTATTTCTCCTCCTATGATTTGTGGATTCAATGCAATCCCATTCAAAATCTCAGTAATTTCTTTTTAATATGTGGAAACTGACAGACAGATTCTAAAATTTATCTGGAAATGCAAAGGACCAAGAATAGCCCAGACAGACATCTTGAGAGAGAAGAAGAAGGTGCTGGACCGTTCTAAATGTTGTACATTACTGTCAAGTGATTAAGATGGTACAGCATTGCGGTGAGGCAAGGGAAATACACCAGTCGACCACCTATGTGTGGACATTGGTTTATTACAAAGCTGGCATTGCAGTAAAACAGAGTGAATCTCAGAAATCAAACCCAACCATCCCTTCAGTGACCAGTAGTCACACAGAAGAGGGAATGTTATCTGCTTCCTACTTACTTTTTCTATTTTTTAAGAAAATCCATCATCATTTTCACAGTGGTTTGCTTTGCTTTTCTCCAGCCTTCCTCCCCTACCACACAGCTCTGTGGTCCAAAAGCCGCAAAGGTGAAACTGGCAAGGTGAGGTCAGGTGATGCAGGGCAGAAGTTAGGGATGGGGACCATGACCATATAAACGGGTCCAGTTACCCAGGTTAGTCCCATTATTAATAGCTTTCACCCTCAAAAGTGTTGTGATGTGGATGATGAATCGTATAATCACCCACTTTAAAGGATTTTAGAGTGTTGGAATGCAAACCAGTCTTAACTGTTGAGAATAAAGAGATGGAAATGTAGGCAAGAGGTGGGGGAAAAGAAGCAGGAATTAAGTGAATGGGAAGAGCTAGTTTGTGGGTGGATGGTCCAGATATTGTGGTTAGGTGAGGTGTGGATTCCAGTTTACAGGTCCCGAAGGAGGAGCATGCCTCATGGGAAGCTCTTAGATCTATAAAGTCGGGTGTCACACATCCCTCTCTGAGGCCAATCTAAAACAGCACAGTTATTTAAAAAGAGTAACACAGGTAACCTGGGTTTCAGTTTGAGATACACTCTAGAAATCACATTGGACAATAAGTGCAGGTTAGTCTACATTCTGACCAAACTGGTGAAATCTGTGAATTACTGGTTCAGCATCATTTGCAAAGAACTATAGAGTGGTCCTCAGGGTGGGGTTCTGAGACTCCTGGAGGGTGCTGGAGACCTTTTCAGGTGCAGGGGAGAGTCTGTGAGATCAAGACAGTTTTCATATTAGTAAGATGTTACTTTCCTTTTTCCATTGTATTGACATTTGTACCGAAATGCAAAGCAATGGTGGGTGAAACTGCTAATCTTCCCCCCCCCCTTTTTTTTTTTTGAGACAGAGTCTCGTTCTGTTGCCCAGGCTGGAGTGCAGTGGCATGATCTCGGCTCACTGCAACCTCCATCTCCCAGGTTCAAGCAATTCTTATGCCTTGCCTCCTGAGTAGCTGAGAGTACTTCCGTGTGCCACCACGCCCAAGCTAATGTGTGTGTGTGTGTGTGTGTGTGTGTGTGTGTGTGTGTTTGTTTGTTTGTTTTAAGACGGAGTTCCGCTCTTGTTACCCAGGCTGGTGTGCAATGGCGCGATCTTGGCTCATCGCAACCTCCGCCTCCTGGGTTCAGGCAATTCTCCTGCCTCAGCCTCCTGAGTAGCTGGATTACAGGCACGCACCACCATGCCCAGCTAATTTTTTGTGTGTTTTTAGGAGAGACAGGTTTTTGCCATGTTGGCCAGGCTGGTCTCGAACTCCTGACTTAGGTGATCTGCCTGCCTTGACTACAGGTGTGAGCCACAGTGTCCAGCCAAAACTGCTAGTCTTTAGTGTGCATCCAGGCAGTGCCACCAAATTGTATGAGTAGTCATCGTATTCTTCACTGCTGTGTCATCACAGTCTTAAAAATGCCGGTTTTATGTTAGCGTGACCTTGGTGACATAATCAAAATCATAAATCTTATTAAACCTAGACTCTTAAGTCTTTAGTAGTCTGTGGGACAAAAGAGGAAATACATAGAAAGCATTTCTGTGGTATATAGAATTTTGAAGGAAAAGCGTTTGCTCCCATTCTTTGAGTTAAGACTGAACTGAACCAACTGCTTTTATGTTTTTTACCCGAACAAACAGCTGGGAGACGTGGTTATTCAGACCCGGATGTTTGGCAGGCACTGTCTTGGAAATGAATGAAGTGAGCCTGTCACTTCAAGAAAAACAACTGCCAGTCTTTGTTGCTAATGATAAAACGAGCTTTCAAGTGAAAATTTGAATTTTGGAAAGTTGTCTGCCTGCCACTGTGAACGTGACAACTTCCTAGTACTTCAAGACTTTTCTGGCTGAGTTCGATGATGAGATTAGTGAATGGGATTTTTCAATGCTGCAAAATGAGAGGTAACAATATTGAGAAAGTTTGCATAACTCAGTGAGCTGTGTTCCAAATGACGTCATAAGATCAGGCATGGGTTAGAGATCCACTCAAAGTGCAAGAGGGAGCTTTGGGTTTTAGTGTAACAGAGTGTGAAAAGTTCACCAATATCATTTCAGATTCCACATTGCAAGTGACCCCTGAAGAGCTGCCGCTTGTTGAATTTTGGTGTGGTCAAGAAGAATGTCTGAATTTTTTATTTTTTTGAGACACAGTCTCACTCTGTTGCCCAGCCATGATCTCGGCTCACCGCAACCTCTGCCTCCTGGGTTCAAGTGATTCTCCTGCCTCAGTCTCCTGAATAGCTAGGATTACAGGCATGCACCACCATGCCCAGCTAATTTTTGTATTTTCAGTAGAGGCGGGGTTTCACCATGTTGGCTAGGCTGGTCTCAAACTCCTGACCTCAGGATCTGCCCACCTCAGCCTCCCAAAGTGCTGGGATTACAGGCGTGAGCCACCACACCCAGCTGAAATATATTTTTTTAATATTATCTGAAAAGGCTATTAAAAATACTCCTTCCTTTTCCAACTATGTATGCTGTGAAGCCAGATTTTCTTCCTAACATCCAGCAACTGACAGGATACAAACTATATGAGGATCCTTCTATTAAGGAAATTTGAACAATATAGTGCTAGTCTTCTCACTGCTTTTTTTTGAGGGGGAGATTGATCAATATAGTTAATTTTATAAAAAGTTGTGTTAATATATGTTTAATTATTACTTGTAAATAAATTTGAAAAGTAGGTATTTACATTTTTAATTTCTAATCTGGTAAATATCAGTACAGTCCACATAAACAAGAGCTCTTGGGAGTCTTCAATAATTTTTATGAGTCAAAAGAGGTCTGGAAATAAAAGTTTCAAATCGCTGCTTTAGAACACTGGTTTTCAGCCTTGATGGACACCAGGATCATGTGTAGTCTTAAAAATTACCGCCATGTTGGTCTCACCTTTAGTGCTTCTGTTTGAACTCATCTAGGATGCAGTGTGAGCGTGGTGATTTTTTTCAGGCTTCCCAGGTGATGCCAACATGTAGCTGGGGTAGGAAGCACAGCACTAGGCAGGTGCTGAAGACAAGCAGGCCCTGGGTTTGTCAGTATCAGCTGTACTGCAGGCACTGTTCTTAGTGCTGGAGGTAGGGCAGTGAACAAATAGAGAAGTCCCTTCCCTCAGGGAGCAGGAGGGACATCTCTTCCCCTTCCAGGAGAGGAAATGGTCAAGCAGGTAGACAAATAAGTGTTACCTTTCTGTAGAGTTGGGGGGGACCTCATGAAATACCAGGGCCAGGGTGCAGTGGAGTCTTGATGTGCCTGTTTGCTTTGCCTTCAGACCAGGTTTTAGCCCCGGTTTGCTGCAGTCTTCAGAGCTGGTGCCTCCTGACTCCCAGCAGTCACAGGCGTCTGCCGAAGCCCCGTTTGCTGCCCGAGGGATCTACTCAGAGGAGATGCCGTCGGTGGCCCGGCCTCGGCCTGTCGGGGGCACCACAGGTATATGTGGCTGTTTAGCTTGCATTTCTGAGCTATGGGACATTTACTTTTTGGCTAAATTGAAAGAAACTTGATTTTGGGCTTCTCAGAGTGTCAGTGTCCAGCGTGCAGGGGCCTCTGCCGTTTTTCAGGGTTGTTTCTGCTCAGATCCTGACCGAGATGGAGGTGGGAAGGGAGAGAGAGGCTGAGCTCCTAAAGCTGCTGTCTGCCGATTGGCTCTGGAACCAGCCCCTTCGTGTGAAATTCACAGCATGCTCCCTCCAGGAAAAATGCTTCCAAATCCTTACTGTAAATGAAAGGTCTCGCTCTGGGCACTTTGGATGGCATGAAAACAAGAGTTAGTTTTAAAGAAGGTGTGTTTTTCAGCTTGTGACGAACAACTCTTAAAGTCTGGGTGACAGAGCAAAACTCTATCTCAAAACCAAACAAAAGCAAGTAGTTTAAGCCAGTTCGAAACTTGCAATAATTGGTTGAGTTTTTTCATTATGATTTTTCTAGGAAATTCTTTTATCTTGCATTGTCTATTAGTCTGCAAAACAAATCATGTCTCCTGGAATCCTGTAGGATTTCCTGAACTTTATAGGTGCTTTGGTCTGCAGTGAGCCTTGATTCCCCTGTTCATTGCCAGATATTTGAACCTCCCTACATGGCATATATACTAAGAAAAATTCAGATGTATTAATTTTTAATTTAAAATCCGAAAGAGCTGGGCGCAGTGGCACGTGCCTGTACTCCCAGCTACTCGGGAGGCTGAGGTGGGAGGATCGCTTGAGCCCAGGAGTTCTGGGCTGTAGTGCGCTATGCTGATTGGGTGTCCACACTAAGTTCGGCATCAATATGGTGACCTCACTGGAGCTGGGGACCGCCAGGTTGCAGTGAAGCGGCCCATGTCGGAAACGGAGCAGGTCAAAACTCCCATGCTGATCAGTAGTGGGATTGCACCTGTGAATAGCCACTGCACTCCAGCCTGGGCAACATAACGAGACCCCATCTCTAAAAAAAGTTTAAAAAATTTTTTTAAATCTGAAAGAATATAGAAATTACACATATCAAACATTCAAAAGGAAATTATTTTTAAATTTCTATTAGGTGAAATTATGTAAAAATTTATGGAAAATGTTTAAGATCTATTAGAAGGATTACCTTTTTAACTATAGAACTTTATGAAACATGTGTATGTCTGAAAATTGCCAATTATTTTCAAAAAAAGAAAATAGGAGAAATTTATAGCACCTCATGATCAAGAAGTGTTTTTATTGTAGAAGACACCTCATATAAATTAAGTGGGCCCACCTGGAAAGGTCAGTGGGAAAAGGAAAAAGGTCCAGTTTTAAAATTATTTTTAAAATGCAAATTAATACCATAACACAGCATTTCAATCATGAAATTATTTTTATAATAATGTGGTGTGGTAAAATTAGCATCCAGTTTCTTCATCTGTGCTAGGGATATTCGTACTCACCTCCTTGGTGGTTTGGCTGATAAAAGATGACAGAAGTGCTCGAAATAGTGCCTGGCATAGCATAAACTTTCAATAAATCAGCTGCCATGACTGTCGTCACTGTTATGTAAATTATTAAACTTTGGAAAGCAGTCTGGCAGTAGGACTTACCAAACCTTTGATTTGGTAATTCCAGTTTTGGAAATCCAGGCTCACTCTCCTAAAATCCAAAATATTGGGGGGAAAGATGTGTCAAGATGTTTATCACAGCATTATTTGCATAATTGCAAAGGATTGTTAGCTTCCCTAGATATACCTAGTAGGAAGGCCATCCCTGAGGAAATCGTGCAGCTACTTAACATGAAGAGGTCATAAAAAGCCAGAAAAGGGGAATTTGAGATTCACCAGTTGCCTCCTATGCATTTGATGCTTGATCTGTTTTATCTCTTTTTAATCCTTGAAATAACCCTCTGAGGTAGATTCTTTTTCTTTTTCTTTTCTTTTCTTTCTTTCTTTTTTTTTTTGAGAGGGAGTTTTTGCTCTGTCACCCAGGCTGCAGTGAAATGGCACCATCTCGGCTCACTGCAACCTCTGCCTCCTGGGTTCAAGCGATTCTTCTGCCTCAGCCTCCTGAGTAGCTGGGATTACAGGTGCATGCTACCACACCCGGCACATTTTTATATTTTTAGTTGAGGCGGAGTTTCACCATGTTGACCGGACTGATTGTGAACAGGTGATCCGCCTGCCTTGGCCTCTGAAAGTGCTGAGATTACAGGCGTGAGCCACCCTGCCCGGCTGAGTTAGATGTTTTATCCCTGCTGGAGAAGTGAGGAATCAAGGCTCAGCGGTAGCTGTAGCCAGTCGCTCAGGGCCGCAGGGCTTGTCGGTGGCTGAGCTGGAATGCAAACCCCGGCCTGCTTGGCTCAGTGCTGACTTACGGGGGAAGCCCGTGCTGTATTGTTACGTGAACAACACAGGATACAAAAATCCTCCCAAATGATGATTTCCATTACTATAGTGGCTTTACATAGGAGGTGTGCTTTTCTCCCTGTGCAGTTGGTTGAGGCTTTGGAAATGGGGGCAACACTGCGCTGCTCTTACAGCATTTTGCAAGATTCACTCAGACAACGCCCGTTGGGCAAGGAGTGCTAGTAGTCCTGATCATTTTAATATCGTTCAGTTTTTTCAGTAACTGACCTGGTGCTCCAGTAGAGGGCATTGCTCTGCCCAGAGCCATGACAGCTTTTCCTGACTTTAATTATCATTAAATATCCAAATAGAACCATTAAGGAGTTCTTTTTTTTTTTTTTAACGTGGTTGGTTATTGTAGGTTGTTGGTCAAGTATTGTAGCTCACAGCTGTAATCCCATCATGGAGGGTGGCCAAAATGGGAGGATCTCTTGAGGCTAGGAAGAGTTCAAGACTGGCCTGGCCAACATAGTGAGACCCCATCTCTTAAAGAATTGAGATAATTGAGGTTGTTAATTAGGCACCTGGAGTCAGGACAGACTTAAAGATGGAGGAGGTGCCTCTCTTAGCTTTGGGCACTTGGAGCCGGTGTAGCTCCAATTGGAGCATCACAGGTGAGTTTGATGATAGCAGATTTGGAATTTTTTTTTTTTTTTTTTTGAGCTGGAGTCTCATTCTGTGGCCCAAGCTGGAGTGCAGTAGCATGATCTCGGCTCACCGCAACCTCTGCCTCCCAGGTTCAAGCAATTCTCCTGCCTTAGTCTCCTGAGTAGCTGGGATTACAGGTGCCCACCACCAGGCCAGGCTAATTTTTGTATTTTTAGTAGAGACAGGGTTTTACCAGGTTGGCCAGACTGGTCTCAAACTTCTGACCTCAGTTGATCCACCTGTCTCAGCCTCCCAGAGTACTCGGATTACAGGCACGAGCCACCGTGTCCAGCCGGAAATAAGCATTCTATTTCACAGTACTTAAGGATCACTTTTTTTCTCCCTTAATTCACAGTATAGGTGTATATCCATATGCCACAAGTTGATGAGGGAGAAAAATATCGTTTATTACCTGGCTTCCATAGCCACGGGAGGCTGCAGATGTCTAAGCGTATGAGTGTAGTAGAGTAATTAGCTCTACAGAGTCCCCTGGCTCTGTCACCAGCTCACTGCACCGATGAAACTGGGGGACGGGTTCTAATTATATTGTGGCTACATTACAAATACAATATGAGTTATAATGAAAATATACTTTAAAATGCTGAATTTAAATACATATATATCCTGCCTTTTAAGGAAAAAAATAAGCATATTTTATATCCAGGTCCTTGTGACTCTCAAAGCCACAAGCAAGAAAGAGCCAGGCTTCAGCTTCACGATGACTCCAAATCTTTCACTCCTTTCTTAATCGATGAGCTGCTCCTTATTGGTAACCTCTACAGAGATGAATGGAAGAACCTTCTATTGTACTATTTATCCCCAGTCCTGAGGTCTAGCCATAAAAATAAGGGCAAGCACTGTCAGCCTCTGAATTCAAAGGAAATCAGAGTCCAGGAACCAGGAAGCTCATGGTTTATTTCTCTTAGGAAATACCATTTCTGGAGATACAACTGGTACTGAGTAGTGATCCCTTGCCCTTAAGGAGTGCACTGGTCAGAGCTGAGAGTGGCTTCCGACAGGGTGTTTTGGGGGGAATACACCCTGCCTAGGCATGGGGAACCCATGGGGAAACAGTTGTATCAGGGCTCGGATGGGGGTTCCACTGGGTTGTTGCTGTGTTCACAGGGAGGAGGGGTCACCCTCACGCAGCACTTCAGGAGAGGAGCCAGCAGGCTTTCTGATGGGCTGGTAGGAAGCCCGAGGAAAGAGGAATTGGGCATAGGGTATAGTTTGTTAGATCTGAGCAAGTAGGACTGCATAGTCCTGTGTGGAAATGGGGATGGCGAAACGGGGACAGGCTTAGGCGGGGTGAATGTCGGGGATCAAGAATTCTGTTTCAGACTTTTTGCAGTGGGATTTTCTTCTTTCATTTGTTTATTCTGATCGCCTGGTCCATGTTGCTCCGTGGTGCATTTCCCTACCTACCGGACCCTCAGGAAATGCCGACAGTATGGCAGGTGAGGTGAGATTTCTGGAGCTAGAACTGGTACCAAGTCATGACCCCTAGTCCTGAAGGAGTGCAGTGGTCAGAGCTGACAGTGTCTTCCTCGGCAGCCACACTCTCCTAAAATGTTGACCAGGCCACTCCACCGTGTTCTTCTAGGCTCCCAGATCCAGCACCTGACGCAGGTGGGAATTGCCAGCAGAATGGGAGCTCAGCCGGTAGAAATCCCATCAAGCAGAGGCAGCCAGTATGGAGCGCCAGGCTGGCCTTTGTACGGGGAAGATGAAGCGGGGCGAAGAGAGGCCGTGAGTATCTCCTGTTTGAGTCATCAATTAAAATTTAGATATAGGCCAGGCGCGGTGGCTCACGCCTGTAATCCCAGCACTTTGGGAGGCTGAGGTGGGCAGATCATGAGGTCAGGAGTTCGAGACCAGCCTAGCCAACATAGTGAAACCAGGTCGCTACTAAAAATACAAAAATTAGCTGGGCGTGGTGGCGGGTGCCTGTAGTCTCAGCTACTTGGGAGGCTGAGGCAGGAGAATCACTTGAACCCAGAAGGCGGAGGTTGTAGTGAGCCAAGATCGTACCGCAGCACTCTAGCCTGAGTGACAGTATGAGACTCTGTCTCAAAGAAAAACAAATGTAGACGTAATCCCTCAATTTAGCAGCTTCTGCTTTGCGGGTCCCTTTTTAAAACCGACGTCAAAAAAACTTTAAATCTCTCTCACGTTTCCCAGTTGCTTGTGTTTCTGTTTACGGTTTTAGCATCTTGCTTTTGGGAAGTATTCAATTTTTCTTGAGGCAGAGTTCAAGCTTTCAGTAGTAAATTTGAATCTATAGTTGACTAAACTCTGGAGTTCACGTTTGGTGGGATCGCCGTATAGAAATTCCTGCTCTTCTACAGCATTTGTGATTCATTGTGGGTTTATTAACGTCATTTGTATTGTGAGCATGAGTAGGTAATTTTGTAATAAGCACACAGTTGGGACATTTTAAGACACAGGCTTTCTTTTTGAGACTTTGTTCGCTCACTCAGTGTGAGCACTGGTGATTCCTACAAGTGCTTTCATTTGCTTTTCTCAAGAACTGTACATCCTGGGGGCATAAATTAATGAAGTTGAAAATGAAAACCAGAATATTACTTTTTGTTTTATCCTTATCGTTATGCTACAGCGTTCGTTGCATTTTTGTACCTTCCCAACAGGCACACTAAATTCCTTTCATAGCTGGATGCTCTTGCTTGATGAAAGGACACTAACTTTAGAATATGACGTTTCCCTAAAAGAGACATTGTTATAGTCTCAGGTATCTGCTTTCAGTTTGCTGCCATTTCTCTTTTTTTGTTTTCATGTTGCCCAGCTTAGCTTCATGAGATATTTGGGGTTGGTTTTGGTGTTTTGCTTTATTTAAAAAAAAAAATGGAGGCAGGGTCTCACTATGTTGGCCAGGCTGGTCTCGAACACCTGGCCTCAAGGCAGTCCTCTCTCCTTGACCTCCCAAAGGATTGGAGTTACAGGCGTGAGCCACCGTGCCTGGTGTGGGGTGTTAAGATTTTCCTGTCACATCCACTTTGGAGCACCACTTGGTCACTATTTGTAGAAGTGGAACGTAGAAAGAACCTAGAGCTGGAATGCCATCTTTGGCTCATGAATAACTTGGCCCCAGCATACGTTTTTTAGTACAAAGATTTAAGTACTCTTACATATAAATGCAAAGAGACATTTTTTTCCACTGAGAAAAAAAACATGAAAAAAATTTTGAAAAGTGTAATAATTCTTGTGAAACTACTGCCAAATTAATCTGTATGCTGCAAATCTCAGCAACACTATCTTATGCTTTAGTGCAGATAACTTTTTAAGAAAAGGCTCTACAGAGCCCCCAGTAGACACACACACACACACACACACACACACACGCACACACACACACACACACACAGCAGCTAGATAAAGCGGGGGATGATGGTTTCATGGGCTCCAGTCCACGGCAGAGGCAGCTGTCCCCCTTGTCTGTCTTGCGTGGATCCACTTACCTCCTTCAGCAATCAGATATCATGCGGCCTTTTACCTCCTGCGGTACTCCAGCCTCCCCCCTCCCTGTTCTCCCCAGCCCCCTGGTGTCTTCACCCCTCACCTCCACATGGGGCATAGGTGGCAGGGCCCTGTTGGAGGGCTGAGTTCGTGGATGAATGCGGGCGGTCCTGGGAACCTTCCCAAAGCCAGTTTGCACTGACGTTCCCGCTTTTCCTTCTTTAGGAAGTACAGTAACGTTTGCCGTGTTTTTCAGACACACATGCTCGGACATCAAGAGTATTCTTCTTCACCGCTATTTCAGGTGCCAAGGACTTCAGGCAGGGAGCCCTCAGCTCCTCCTGGGAACCTCCCCCACCGGGGGCTGCAGGGCCCTGGGCTGGGTTACCCCACCAGCTCCACGGAAGACCTGCAGCCCGGCCACTCCTCAGCCTCTCTCATCAAAGCGATCCGCGAGGAGCTTCTCCGGCTCTCCCAGAAACAGAGCACCGTGCAGAACTTCCACAGCTGATTGGCCCGCCTTGCAGATTTGCCAAGTATCCGCTTCCCGTGGAAGCAAGACCGAAAGGAAATCAACTGAGTGGGTGTTTGTAAGAGGAAGGAGCACCTCCTGGGCAGCCTGCCCGCCGGAGGGAGCAAGTTGCGATTTACAAGATGCCATAAGTCATGTGACAGCTCGTGAGCCTTTCACTGGGCTGGCAATTGTGTGACCACTTGGGTTCGGTTGAAATGTATGTACTTTGGCCACAAGCCAGCAGCACTTCACAAAAACAAAACAGGAAGCTAAGCTAACAAAAGGACTGCATTGGTCTCTTTTTTAAAGGCAGTGATTAAAATGTATAGATGGCATAGGGATGAAAGGAACCAAGCGTTTCCATGGGATGGAGACTGGTACGTGTACGATGAACCTGCTGCTTTGTTTTCTGAGAAGAGGTTTGAAGACATTTTATGAACAGCCTGATTTTTCTCTTTTACTCCATAGGAACTTATTTTAATAGTAACATTAATGACAAGAATACTAAGACTGTTTGGGAATTTTAAAAAGCTACTAGTGAGAAACCAAATGATAGGTTGTAGAGCCTGATGACTCCACGCGAAGCCATCACCTGCATTCTTCCTCCTCCTCCTGGTGCTACAGTTCCAAGGGCCCTTCCCCTTCAAGTCTGAGATGCAACTTTGGCTCTTTCAGTGGAAGAAGTTAAAGGTTTCATTTTGTCCTGGAAAAAAAGAAATCCCTCCCAAAGCAGGGTGAAAAGCTGAATATTTATTTGGTTATCCCAAATACAGATCGAAGATTAGATCTCTGTTCTTAATTACTTTTGCTGTTTCTTAATTGGGCGGACGTAACTCCTGGCCACGTCCCAGTTCAGCACCGATCGCTAAGCCCAGTCCTACAAAATGAGGCTTTTGAGCGGTCCTCACTGATCCTTTCTTCCACTTTGCTGTTGATTTGTTCACAGATTATGTTCGAATGGAGAAATCTGTAAGCAAAAGTTATGTAATAATTCCCAGGACCACCAAATTGTTATGCATATATCTCTACCAGTCACATGCCCTGTGTTCAAAACCTGGAAATGAAATTGAGTTCAGCTCAGCCTCTCTGTAACGAATCAAGCAATGTAAAAGAGCTTTGAGACTTCAAGGGAAAGGAGAGAGTTGCTTCTCATTTCTGATTTTATTGTGCTATTATTCTGTCGAGTGGCTATTAAAATTGTCTTACGCTCTTTGGGCCTAAGAGGGGATCATCTCGATGAAGATTTACTCCTGATGTGAACATTTCCCCACATTCCAAATCATGGTAATGAAAACAGTGACAAGGGCCATTCTGTTTTCTGGTACCTGAGTGAAACTCAGAAGAAAAGCAGGCTTAGCTAAGAGAGTTTTCACTATGAACCCATTTTTATTAGATCAACGAATACAGTCATGCATTACTTAACGATGGGGATGCGTTCTGGGAAATGTGTCATCAGGCTGTTTTGTTGCTGTGCCAACGTTCTCGAATGTACTTAACAACCTACATGGTCTAGCATACTACACACCTAGGCTGTGTGACGGTCTTTACTCTTAGGCTGCAAACCTGTACAGCATGTTACTGTGCTGAACACAGTGGTATTTGTGTATCTAAACATATCTAAACATAGAAAAGGTATGGTGAAAATAGTTTTATAATCTTATGGGACTACCATCAATAAGCAGACCGTCACTGACCGAAACATCCTTATGTGTGCATGACTGTACTTTTAATTGAATAACAGGTGAGGGGCTAGAATTTGGGGCTCTGACTAGTCAAAACCTAGGTATCTGTGCCAAGTTTTGAGATCCCTAAAACAGCTAAAACAGGTTTCCAAAATGGAATCACTGGATTTCAAAACTGCCTTTCAGGCCTGTCTTACAGATTTAGAGTCTTACAATATGAGGAATGTTGGTTCTGGGGTTACGGTGGAGACAGTTTTCATCTGGACACCTCTGAAACAGAAGGGGTGCTGGAGAGTAAGTCTCTCAAGGATGATAAAGGACGGGTGGCATCTTGTCAGGCGATCCTCAGAGGCTCCACAGAGCATTGGAGAGAAGGCCCCCTTCTGGGCTTGACATCGTGGTCTTGGTTTAATACTAGGCTCTCCCCAAACTGAAGGATTCTCTTTGCATGTCACCCAGAAATACCAGGTTTGCTGAATATTGTATTAAGAACTTCAGATATCCAAGCAGAATTTTATTCTGGACACCGTATAATGAATTCAAATCATGTGACAGCAAATGGGATAAATGGCCCCTTCTCTTCCAGTTCTGTGTGGTGCCATAAGGGTTTGCACATAGCGTATATTAAACATGGTGACCTCCTTTGAGCGTTGCAGAAAGAGGGCTCTGTTTCAAGTGGGCTGACTGTAACAGCAATTTCGATGCCTTTCAAACTACCATAAAGGGATTTTAACTGTATTTTTATTCTTAGAAACAATATACCTTTAAACGGATGTCCAGACCAAAGATGAGGTGTAATAAACAGCCAGTAGTTACGGGGCGGTGCGAGCAGACCCCGGGTGCCCCGATCACTGGCATTCTGTTGGTGGTCATAAAGCACAGGTGGTTTGCGCTTGCTTCCTCTCAAGGCCTGCCACAACAGTGTCACCAATCACCAAACTCAGAACAAACTAGCCGTGTGGGCATCTTCAGACACTCAGTTAACGTGATCCGTGAAAAGAAGGTTCTCGTGTGGACAGTGTGTGGCTTTGGAGTCCATTTCTGGAAGCGCTCTACAATGAACAGTTGAATTTTGTGTCTATTCTTTTTTCCTGTTTTAAAAAGTTCTAGTGGTAACACAAACTGTACATTTGAGTCAGAATGTTTGGAGACATGATTTTTTTTTCCAGAGTCTACTGTGTCACTCACTGACCGTGTCAGATTCCTTCTCTGAACTTCATTCTCCCCATCAGCTAAACAAGAACAGGCCTCCCCAGCCACCTTCCAGGCTCCCCAGTTGTGAGAATCAGATGCGATCATGTGTGCAAATGTTCTGTGAGGGGGCAGTGTAAAGCACCGTGAAAATGTAACGGTGCTATGGATGTGGATGCCCTAGGATGAGCGCTGTGATACGCTACGCCCCTGCAGTGAGTGGCTTCACACGTGGGTGATGAGCAAATCTGAAAGTTCTGTGTGACTCATTTCCTCACTCCCATTTTGCTTTAAATTCACTCCCTTCACTAATTTTCAAATGGCAATTATTAAGCATCTTTCTGCTCCCGACTTTCTGGCGTCTCTGGCCCCTAATAAGCCAGCAGACAATGAGCCTTGCCTTCTGAGATTTTAGAATCTAAGATAATACTAGTGGGTATAAAAGATGGAAGATACAGATAAATAGCATCAATAAGATTCATTCAAAGAGGTCAGGCGTGATGGCTCATGCCTGTAATCCCAGTACTTAGGGAGGCTGAAGCAGGTGGATCACTTGAGATCAGGAGTTTGAAACCAGCCTGGCCAACATGGTAAAACCCTGTCTCCCCAAAAAATACAAAAATTAGCCGGGTGTGGTGGCACATGACTGTAGTCCCAGCTGAGGCATGAGACTCGCTAAACCTGGGGGACAAAGATTGCAGTGAGCTGAGATTGTACCACTGCACTCCAGCCTGGGTGACAGAGCAAGAGTCTGTCTCAAAAAAAAAAAAAAAAAAAAAAAAAAAAAAAGACACAAAGGCATTAGGTACCCAGAAGAAGTTACGGAAGCTGCATGTTTGGAAATGCAGGGTCTGGGGAGCTGTCAACTTCAGAAGTGACTTTGAAGGCAGGGCAGCTACCCAGGCAAATGGTGTGGAAGGAAGAGCTGAGTGTGGGCTTGGGAAAGGCTATAGGCATGGGCTGAAGCTGCCAGTGAAAACAAACCTGATCTTGATCCACCTTAATATGGGGACAGAATCCCCGACTGTACTATTGAGGGAGTTTTGGAAGAGAAGGAAGAGGTGCTGGGAGGATGCTTTTGCAGTCATACAGCAAGGAAATGACCAGGGCTGTGAAGATCTACAGAGGAAGTGCTCCAGTGTGGGGATGGGGGCAAGGGAAGAGGATGGAAATGATGAGAATGACACAGAGGTCGTTGTTTTGAGCCGATCTCAGCTGTGTTTGGCCAAATCCTTTGTGGAGCTTAGTGAGCTACCAATATATATATTCAGCTTCTTTTACAGCTACCTATAGGTTTTCTCCAAATTTCATTAATTTCATAGTGTTTTCATTTGGGTGGCTTTTAAGCTGTGGGTGTCTGCCAGCCAGATATTTCCTGGCATGCAGCCTGTGAGGCAAAGCACAGGCAAAGGTAGGCACCAAAGGCTTTGGGCTAAAACCAGCAGTTCTGTGCTGCAGGAGTCTCGCATTTCCCGTGGACGAGGTCACTGTTCCTGCATTTGCACAGTAAGTGCTCCAGAGACCAAACCAGTCATTCGGATACTGATTTGCAATGCGTTGGTGGTAATTCACAAATTAATCATTACGTAAACCTCTCTTACCCCTTTCATACTAGATTCTCAGACATGAATGAATTTGCCGTTTGGAAGGAAAGCTGGTTAAGGTTCTGGGCACAGGGGTAGGGGGACTTCAGTCTTAACTCCCACACTAACTTTAGTGGAGTTTTCACTGTCATCATTTCTACCTCCGGAGCAAGGCTCCAACACCAGTCGCAGAGCCTGCTTATCCACATTTGCCCTGGCCAGGAGCAGGAGAAAGTTCACTTCTGCACCAGCAGACAGCATGTGAACACAAAACACATTTCTATGGCATAGTCAGTTGAACTTCACTTTTACATTTAACATGTTAACACCTTCTAACAGGGTTTCTATGAGCAGCTGCTGTAACATAAAATGTAATGGACTTAACGCTTGTTATCTAGTGAACAAGGAGTGTGTGCACTTCAGGTTTCTTTTGATATTCTTGGAGGTGATGGTCAGTGTTGAAATAAGGACTACTTTCTTCACTATGAAGATGACTTGAAAATTGCAACATCATGGTACATTGCTAAGTTCATGCTTGTGTGTGTGACAGTAGACTTGATAATTTATCTTAAAACACAGCAGCATTGAAATTTAGGAAAAGAATATTAAATGCCTTTGGAAACATGAAATAAAGTTAGGAGCCAGTGAGAAAGTGACAAGCAATGAATGTCTTAATGCACTATAGTTAAAACAGCTTCCCACAGGGTAGAGAATTATCCAGGATCCTTGCTTTTCCTTCCTCCAGGTCTTTCAGGGGTCACTTCACATTTCTAAAAAACAGTGAGTAGTCTGGGCATGGTGGCTCACCCCTCTAATCTCGACATTTTGGGAGGCTGAGACAGGAGGATCGCTTGAGGCCAGGAGTTTGAAACCAGCTTGGGCAACATAGTGAGACCCCATCTCTACAAAAAATTTAAAAATTACCTGGGCATGGTGGCATGTGCCAGTAGTCACAGCTACTCAAAAGGCTAAGACTGGAGAATTGCTTGAGCCAAGGAGTTGGAGGCTGCAGTGAGCTATGATCATGTCACTGCACCCCTGACTGGGCTACAGGGTGATGTCCCATCTCTGAAAAAAAAAAAAAAAAAAAAAGTGAATAGGTAAAAGGGACAGAGGTGAAATTTTGAGTGATTTGAGACTCTTGCAGTCCCTGAATACATAGAACTGTGTTTCTGGGCTACTTGAAGCATCAGCAATAGTGTTTCTAGTACTTGCCAGATTTCAAGTATTCATAACTTGACTCCCTAAGTGACAAGTTGGGAACAGTACAGAGCCAAGTTCAAGTCACATACCCTGTACTGTGCCTCCTGCAAATGTGGGGAGAGAAGAGGGAGGTACTAGAGGAATTGAGGCTCCACTCATTCATTTAGTTGCTCTAAGTACCAGAGGACTCGTTTCAGAGAAGGGGAGTAGAAACACCTGCAACTGTGCCCTCCTCCAGAGCATCTCTGGGACGCATGGAGCCTGCGCTAGCGTGAACAGGAAAGGTTGCTCGGCAGTTTCCCTGGCGTGCCGACTTGTCTCCCCCTCCTTTGTCAAGGTCCATGTTTTCCTGGCTCTCCCTGCACACTCATTCCAAGACTATGAGCGTTCATGCACGAAAATGTGCAGAGCAAATTGAGGCCACCTGTGGCGTCAATATTGCAACTTAAACTTGACAATCATAGTTTGCTGGTCTCAAACAGGCACTTAAATCTCAGTATGGGTATACGGTTTAACAATCGACCCCGCCCTTCTATTTGTCAGTTATGTTTCTATCCTTCAATAGCTGCACTGTTTTCTAATGTGCTGTAGAGTTTTTGAAATAATTTATGCAAGTATTTGGTTTCCATGTTTACAGTTTATACAGCTTTCCTAGCATTTTAAATGGAAATGTCAATAAATGCTATGAATTGGTGTCAAAGTGATATTTTCTGTTGATTTCCTTTGCAACATGATCGTTTTCTTGTTTGTAAAATGTGAGACATTGGATGAGATGATCTTTCTGTTCTCTAATTTTGTGTCTCTGGTGAGAACATCTAGTACTTTTGTTACTGGTGGAGGGTGTCCAGGTTCTTGGCGTCTTGAACGAAGAATTGGACAAAACTCACAAAGCAAGGAAAGAATGAAGAAATATGTAGAAAATGAAAATTCACCCCACAGTGTGGAAGCGGGCCTGAGCATAGGGGCTCAAGGGCCCCATTACAGAATTTGTGGGGGTTTAAACACTCTCTAGGGGTTTCCATTGGTTACTTGGTGTATTGGTGTACGCCCTGTGTAAATGAAGAGGATTAAGTAAAGTCACGCGGTCATTTACTCGGCCTATACCCTGTGGAGAAGATCTGTCCTGTCATAGCTGAAGGGTGACTCGGCCTTACGTTCTGTATCTCCAGACCCCATTTTCCTGACTCACTTTCATCATCCACAGAATTCAATTGAAGGTATTCTATTCGGTGTGTGGAATTTGCAGACTTGTTTTCACTCTTGTTTGCCTTTCTACTCCGTTTAATTTGATGGCTACCCCCTTAGCAAATGGATGGATCCCCTAAGAGCAGATTCAGCTTAGAATTAAAAGATTAGTACCATACAATTTAGAAAGAGGAGAAGACCAAAGTCCACACAGACTTGGAAGGGAATAGGGTAAACCTGGAGTTGTTTACAAAACCCAAGACAATAAGAATCCCTTGAAACTTAGAAATGGTGATGGGCATCGTGATTCATACCTGTCATTCCAGCACTCTGGGAGGCCGAGGTGAGTGGATCACTTGAGGCCAGGAGTTTGAGACCAGCCTGGCCAACATGGCGAAACCCCATCTCTAATAAAAGTACAAAAAAAAGAAATTAGCTGTGCGTGGTGGTGGGCACCTTTAATCCCAGCTACTTGGGAGGCTGAGGCAGGAGAATTGCTTGAACCCAGGAGGCGGAGGTTGCAGGGCGCCAAGATTGTGCCACTGCACTCCAGCCTGGGCAACAAAGTGCAACTCTGTCTCAAAACAAAACAAAACCCAAAAACGGAACTCAGAAAAGGAAAGGAACTCAAAACACAGTGGAATATAAACAACGAAATGACGCAGAATCCCGGATAGGATCTTGGAATGACAGCAGTTACAAAAGAGAACTTTAGTGGGGAAACGTGAAACCCAAATAAAGTCTATAGTTAACAGTATTGTGCAAAGATCAATGCATTGGTTTTGCTAACTTTATTATGGTTATTGAGATTTTAATGTTAGAGGAACCTATGTAAAAACGTATCCTGAAACCCTCTAAATCACTTTTGCATCTTTTTTTCTAAATCTAAAAGTATTTAAAATTATAAACATGAGCTGGGTGTGGTGGTTTATGCCTCTAATCCCAGCACTTTGGGAGGCTGAGGCGAGTGGATTACAAGATCAGGAGTTCAAGACCAACCTGGTCAACTTGGTGAAACCCCCTCTCTACTAAAATTACAAAAATTAGCCCGGCGTGGTGGCACATGCCTGTAATCCCAGCTACTCAAGAGGCTGAGGCAGGAGAATCACTTGAAACCCAGGAGGCGGAGGTTGCATCACGCCACTGCATTCCGGCCTGGGTGACAGAGCAAGACTCCATCTCAAAAAAAAATCACCAATTATTATATATATTTATATAAACAGGAATCTGGCACAGATGAAAGGCCACAGACCTTCTGCAGAGGCTAATATAATCCTGGCCTGTGCGTCCACAACCCAGTGACTGCAGCACTTCTCAGGGCAAGCTGCTAACTTTGAAACCACAGTTAACAATTGCAAGTCTTGGCAGAAAATAAGCCTTCAAGAAGGAGAGCTCATGGGATCAACCAAAAGGATAATTTAAATCTAAAAATTCAAGAAAATAGGCCAGTATGAAAGAGATAAATAATGTTGGATGTTTAAAGAGGTTAAAGAGAACAAAGAACAGGATATTACATAAAGGTCTAAGCAAATTTGCCAAAACCAAAAATAAGTTCTCAGAAGAAAAGGACTCTTTTTTTGTTTTGTTTTTTTGAGTAAGAGTCTTGCCCTGTTCCCCAGGCTGAAGTGCAGTGATGCAATCTCAGCTCACTGCAACCTCTGCCTCCCAGGTTCAAGCTATTCTCATGCCTCAGCCTCCCAAATAGATGGGACTACAGGTGTACACCACCACACCTGGCTAATTTTTGTATTTTAGGTAGAGTCAGGGTTTCACCATGTTGGTGGGCTGGTGTCTATCTCAGCTCACTGCCACCTCTGCCTCCCGGGTTCAAACAATTCTCCTGCCTCAGCCTCCCAAGTAACTGGGATTACAGGTGCCCGCCACCACTCCCAGCTAATTTTTGTATTTTTAGTAGAGATGGGGTTTCACCATGTTGGTGGGCTGATCTCGAACTCCTAGTCTCAAGCAGTCCACCCACCTCAGCCTCCCAAAGTGTTGGGATTGCAGGCGTGAGTCACACTGCACCCGGCCAGAAAAGAAATCTTTAAAAAACACAATACACACAATGGTCAGATATTTTAATATTTTACACATAGCTGAAGAAATAATTATAACAGTTTTAATTAACTTTATATTATGTTTTAACCTAACTTTAGATGGAAAACAACAAAAATAGTGGAAACTAACTGGTAGAACTTATTACCCTACAAGATTTTATATGGTCCAAATGGAAATGCAAATGATAGAAGAGCAAGGAGTTTCTAGAAACAGCTAAGACTTACAAGAAAGGGCAGGCTGGTCCCACACTCACACCCTGAACCCTGAGTTTAAATGAATATAGCTGGGCATGATGGCTCACGCCTGTAATCCCAGCACTTTGGGAGGCTGAGGCAGGTGGATCACCTGAGGTTGGGAGTTCAAGACCAGCCTGAGCAATATGGAGAAACCCTGTCTCTACTAAAAATACAAAATTAGCCGGGTGTGGTGGCATATGCCTGTAATCCCAGCTACTTGGGAGGCTGAGGCAGGAGAATGGCTTGAACCTGGGAGGCAGAGGTTGCAGTGAGTACAGTAGTGCAGAATGCAATACTATTCTGTTTTTTGAAAAAGTATACAAAGTGATTGTGCCAATGCACCCCAGCCTGGGCAACAAGGGTGAAACCCCGTCTCAAATAAACAAATAAATAAGTATGGATTTGAGCCATAATTGGCATTTCTTGTCTCTCTCTCTCCTCTTCCTCTTTGCAGCTGCCAAGCAGAGCTTAAAGTATAAAGAAAAGAATAATAAGAACAGAGCTCCTTTTGTTCAGCTTCTGAGTTAGGTAATTAATGAGAAATTCTCATTGGATGATGCCCTATTAAGTAACTTGCTTCCTCTACAGAACTGTTGCACTTTCCTTGCCACGCCCATCCTGGAATAAATGGAGGTGGGTAAGTTTGATTTCTCTACTGCTAAAGACTTGAAAAATTATAGCCACAAACCTAGTTAAACCACATTTGTGTAGCTGAATTATTATTTGTTGTACTTGTGCCAAAGTGTAGCTTTACAGAAGTGTAAAACACAGAACCTATTTGGAAAACTCGGGAAGTTGTTTCTGAGTGCCTGGAAGTTGTTTCTTGTTCCATCAGTATCTTGAAAATATGCATTAGTTTAAGTCCAGATATACATTGGAGATACTGCAGATTTGGTTCCAGACCACTGCAGTAAAGCAAATCATGAACTTTGTGATTTTACACTGTATACAGAAGCTTTATGTACACTATGCTGTAGCTTATTAGGTATGCAATACTAAGGTTTTTTTAAAAAGTGCACATGCTGTAATTTAAAAATACTTTGTTGTTGAAAATGCTAACAATTCTCTGAGCCTTTAGCAAGTCATAATCTTTTTGCCAGTGGAGCGTCTTGCCTCCCTGTGGATGGCTGCTGACTGATCAGGTTGGTGGTTGATGAAGGTTGGGGTGGCTGTGACAATTTCTTAAAATGCACGACTTCTTAAAATGCACAATTTCTTAAGATAAACTTTGTCACATCAGTGGTGTTGAAAATAGATGTTGGAAATAGATGCTTGGTGCCACAAAGAAAAATTAGTACTGAGACAAAGGATCTTTCAGCAACGCCATTTTTACTTCCTGGCCTGCAGGAAGGGTACTGTCACTAGCCATCTTGCCATGAGAGTACAATGAATAAAGAAACACACACGAATTTGTCTCTTACGCATTTGGGGTTGTCCTCACTGCTGTGTCTGATCTCTGTTGGTTGGAGCCAGACCTCACAATCTAAACTAAAACAACTTAAAACTTTTCTAAACAAGTAAAAGCAATGGAGAGCCGGGACGTGCCTGTGGGCACATCCAGCACAGATATCTTGGCTAAAGTACAAGGACATAGAATGAACTACTTACCTGTAAGCACGGCATGTCTAACAGCTCCATAGGACAGGGCTTAACAAAGTTATTAACATACTTATTCTCTAACAAGAAAGGAAACTTTAAAAAGGAATGTTTCTACTTCCCACAAATGGCTTCTTTCTTGATGGAAGGTTTCTCTGCGGCATGTGATGCTGTTTGATAGCATTTGACCCACAGAACTTCCTCCAAAATTGGAGTCAGTCCTCCCAAGCTCTGCCAAATGCTTTATCAACCAGGCTTATGGGATATTCTACATCTTCTGCATCCTTTGTTGTCATTTCAACGATGTTCACAGCATCTTCATCAGGACTAGATTCCAACTCAACAAAAACCACTGTCTTTCTTTATTCATTCATAAGAACTCCGCAACTGTTCAGGTTTGAGCATGAGATTGGAGCAATTCAGTCACATCTGTGGACTCCACTGCTCATGCTCTTGCTAATTCTACCCCATCTGCAGTGACTTCCTCCACCAAAGTCCTGAACTCCTCATCCATGAGGACTGGAATCAATTCTTCTAAACCCCTATTAATGTTGATATTGTGACCTCCTCCCATGAATTGTGAATGTTCTTAATGGCAACTAGAGTCAGGAATCATTTCCAGAAG